TGTAGTATTTTAATTCACAGATTTATTGCTTTTGAAAAAAACTAAGGATTTGTGACATACCTTGGAACTGTGAACAATGTAACCAACTGTAGTATCTTGGCCTGAGGTTTATACTTGACCTGCAGGACCTTAAGAATGTTGGGACCTGCCCATTCCTCAGGCTGTTGCTGCAGTGCCTAAGGCCTGTATTTTGTTTCTTACCTCCTGACTGCTCACTGTCACTATCTGTACTCTACCACCCAGCTCACAAACTTCATGGACCTCCATAAATAAAATCCTGCTTGAACTGGATAAAATCCAAAGTCTTTAACCTCTTCTGTATTTTGCTAACACTCCACTTACTGCCTTAGTTTCTCACTATTTGCTTCCATCTGGCTGGTTTCTTGGTCTTGCCCTGTGCTTTTCCTTATTTGGGACCTTGTTGCTGTTCCTTACTACTTCAGCCCTCTTCTTCATTCAAGATTTCAAGCTAGTTTTTCCTGAGGTCTGCACCATAACCTTCCTCCCGTCCCTGTTGTGGGTGCTGCTCACTAGATGTGATATTTGATTACATGCTTTTTTGTGTTATGTGTGACCTGCAGAGTCATACCCTGTTGGTACCAGTGACGTATCAGACATTATGTGTTTTATCTTCTACATGGCTTCAACTTCCTGTAATAACTTTATACTTGAATTTCTGAATTTATCTGAAACTAGGATAACCAGCTTGTCCTAGTTTGCCTGAGATTGTCCTGGTTTTAGTGCTAAAAGTTCCATATCTTGAGGAAACCCTTCTGTCCCTGGCAAACTGGGACAGTCACTCTGTTTCAGGACACAGGTTCAATGATTCTTCTGCCCTATACATACTCCATAGGTTAATTAGCTACTTTGCATAGTGAGACTTTGCCTGGAACTATTTTCCAAGCTAGAATTTATGGGAAACATCATTCACCAAATATGTATTGACTTTCTAAATGTGTAAGGTGTTAGGAAAAATAATACAACACACCACCCTTTACTAGTTTTGATGCTTATGTTATGAGTTTTCTCTTTAAGGTCACTATTTTAAAATGTAAACAAGAAGAGTCTCTGTACTCTTTCTTCTACTTATCCTATCTAGTCTGAGGCCACTCTGTATCTTTTTCTTCCCTGTCCATAAGCTGGTTTTCTGGCCGCGGTGTTACAGTACATGGGATAGCTTAGAACAGCTTCTCTCCAGCTTTCCTGTTCCTTTTAAGTTATGAGTAGGTAACTATTATGTGAGCAGACAGCCATATTACATGATCCAGATATTTTAAAGACTGATTCTGTGTGAATCAAATTTAGTGTTATCAAATACAACTCAAGCCAGGCTGACACTTAATTACATGCCAATAATGACTCTGTAGGTCACACACAATAGTGATAGGAAGACCTAGTCATAGCTTATCCCCAGAAGTGCCCTTTTCTTCCCCTTGGTCCCCCTCCGCTTCGGTTCCTTGCTCTCTGCCAAGGGCTTATTTCCATTCTCTGTGCTAAGAAAAAGCCATGTGATACTTAATTTTCCTTCAAAGATCCTAGCCCAAAGAATCCCTATTTTTAATTTGTTGTAGCTAATTTTGTGTCTCTTGTGCATTTTTCTTTAGTAGTTTTATTTTGAAATAAATTTGGATTTATAAGAGTTGTATAAAAGATAGTTAACGTGGACTTTTCATTCAGCTTCTCCTAATGTTAACACCTTACATAACTTTGGGAAATTTAGCTAAACTGCGATATTAGCAGTAGTTTTACTGCACTACAGGCTTTATTCACATTTCCTTAGTTTTTCTAATAACGCGCTTTATTTGTTTCAGGATCCCATCCAGAATACCACATGGCATTTATTTATCATATCTCCTTAGTCTCCGTTTTTTTTTTCCTTTGGTTTTATTTATTTATTTTTTTTTGAGTTGGAGTCTCTTGTCGCCCAGGCTGGAGTACAGTGGCCTGCTCATGGCCACTGCAGCCTTGACCTTGACCTGCAGGACTTAGGCGATTTTTCCGCCTCACCCTTCCAAAAGTAGCTGGAACTACAGACGCACACCACCACGCCTGGCTGGTTTTTGTGATTTATTGTAGAGATGAGGTCTCACAAGGCTGATCTCGAACCCCCGGGCTCAGGCAGTCCTCTTGCCTCGGCCTCCCAAAGTGCTGGGATTACAGGCTGAGCCACTGCATCTGACCAATCTCAGTTTTTTATCATTTCTCCATCTCTACTTGTCTTTCAAGAGCTTGACATTTTTTTCTATTGGATTAGATTTTTATTTCTCCTCAAGTAATATGCATAAAAAGCTCCTTCAACATAGAAATATGTCTCATACTAAAGGAATAATTTTATACTTACTAGATTTTCTATTCTGACACAGCACCCTCTAGAAACTTTATCAAGTTGACTTTTAAAAATTTAGACATAATTTCAGACTTAGAGAAAAGTCGTATACAATGGTGAGAAAGATCTGTAAACCTTTTACTCAGATTCCCCGCAAAACCATAACCCTTTTGAAGAGTATTATTCATGTAGTATTTTGTAGTATGTTCCTCAATTTGAGTTTGTTTGATGTTTTCCTTTGATTAGGCAGAGGTAGGGTGACCACCACTGAGGTGGTATCCATTGTCCTTGTGTCGTGTGAGAAGGCACAAGATTGGTTACTGGGGATATTAACCTCGATCACTTCAGGTTAAAGTGGTATCTGCCAGATTTCTCCTCTGTAAAGTTACCTTTTTTCCTTTTCCATCCTGTTTGTTGGAAGAGTCACCAAGTCCAGCCCACACTGAAGGTATTGGGAATTAAGCTCCACCTTCTGGAGGGAGAAGAATCAAGAATTTGTGGACGTATGTTAAATTGACCACAGTAATTAGTAAATAATTTAGGGAAGATAGCTTTGTGCCTATACAGATAACCAGTTTCTTCTTAAAGTTTTTTTTTCCCCACTAATTTTAGCATTCATCAATGCATATTGCACACAGGAGTCATTCAGTGTATGAAACTGTCCATGACAGTTTCTTGATCTTTACTGTGGTGCTGTAATGGTAGTTTTTCCATTTCGAAGACTCCATGCGTGAGAGCCATGTGATCTGTATGAGGGATTAGATTAATAGGTGGCCACTATGGACAGAGCAGTGAGGGCAAGGAAAACATTGGTGACTGGCTGAGTGTGCAGGATTCATAGGCCACGTGAAGAAGGCTTTCCTCAGAATGGAAGTTAATTTAAGTGGTTTGAGCTGAGAATTTGACACGAGCAGATTGTAATTAAATCCTCAAATAAGTGTTAGGGGGCTATTCCTAAAACTAGCCTTGTGCATCTGTAAGAACTTTGAATAAAAGGTATTACTGCAACTCAAATTTCTTAAAACATTTTTGTTTGAGGAGAGATTGTTTTGTGACCAGTTTTATTCTATGACTCAGCAAACAGGTTATGTCTATCACTGCTAAAGGTTTTTTAATTCTAGAAATAGGCAAACTAGGTCAGTACCCTAACTTTTCTACCCTTGATCCTAGAGGCTGATGGTCTACAAATGTTCTGGAGTTGAGTTGAGGTTTAGGTACTGAAATTAAAGTTTGACAAAGACCAAGTTTCAAAAAAATTATAGAAAATTATTTTTTCTTTTTCTTTTTTTTTTGAGTTGGAGCCTCACTCTGTCATCCAGACTGGAGTGCAGTGGCCACTCCCAGCCACTGCAGCCTCAACCTGCTGGACTCTGGCGATCCTTCCAAGTAGCTAAAACTCAGCCTTCCAAGTAGCTGGAACTACAGGCATGCGCTACCACGCCCGGCTCATTTTGATTTATTGTAGAGATGAGGTCTTGCCAAGTTGCCTAGGTGGATCTCAAACCCGTGGGCTCAGGCAATCCACTCACCTCAGCCTCCCAAAGGCGCAGGATTACAGGCTGAGCTGCTGAGCCCGGCTAGAAAATTATTTTTTCAAAAGCATACGACTTCTGTATTGGTTACTTATATTTCTTTACTGTTCCTTTTCAATTCAAACTATATTTTGAAATTTTAGTGCCCACTAAGTTATAATTTGAGTATGGAGGGACACTTGATTTGACTTTCTGAAATATCTTTTATTTTTATTTATTTATTTATTTATTTATTTATTTATTTATTTATTTATGTAGAGATGAGGTCTCACCAAGTTGCCTGGTCTGGTCTCGAACCTGCGGGCTTAGGCGATTCACTTGTCTTGGCCTCCTAAAGTGCTGGGATTACAGACTGAGCCACCATGAAATATCTTTTAAAATAAATAAAGCTGGCCGAGCACGGTGGCTCAAGCCTGTAATCCCAGCACTTTGGGACGCCAAGGTGAGCAGATTGCCTGAGCCTGTGGTTTGAGAACAGCCTGGACAACTTGGTAAGACCTCATCTCCACAATAAAAATCAAAAAATTAGCAGGGTGTGGTAGAGTGTGCCTGTAGATCCAGCTACTTGGAAGGCTGAGGCAGAAGAATTCCTTGAGCCCAGTAGTTCGATGCTGGAGTGTGCCACTGCACTCCAGCCTGGGCAACAGAGTGAGACTCCAACTCAAAAATAAATAAATAAATAAATCTGAACTCTGTTTCTCATTCCTTTCAAAAGGGTTCAAAGACGTTGGTTTGAGAGATCAAGTCCTATGTTAATAAAACACAAATATTCCATCAAATAATATTCTGAAGAAAAAGTCAAAGTTTATTTCGTCCCCAAAATATCTTTCAACAAGTAAATAACTAGAGGTGGTATGGCATAAAGTAAAAAGTGCAGACTTAGGTCAGCCTTTCTAATTCAACCAGCTCTAATCCCTAACCTCTTTTTGCCTCAGTTCCTATACCTTACAAATGGAGAACTGTGCTTTGCTACTATTAAAGCAAGTACAGTGCCTGGTACCTGGTGAGCAGTCAGTGAATATTTCTTCTTATTATCTTCATCATTGTCATGAAATATTCCTTCTAGGTCACACAGTGACTGTTGTCATTTTATGTGTAGTTGTAGCTCACACAATGTTTTGTGTTTTGTTTTTTTTTTTAAGGAGAAATTGTCGTAAATGAAGTTAGTTTTGTGAGAAAATGCATCGCAACAGACACAAGCCAGTATGATTTGTGGGGAAAACTGATATGCAGTAACTTCAAAATCTCCTTTATTACAGATGACCCAATGCCATTACAGGTGTGTTTTATTTGTATACTGTTTCATTGATCAAGGTTTTCAGTTCTAGTCAGTACATATAATAATATTGTTAACAAGTGATTATTATAAGGTTAGGAATTAATTATATTAAAATTCAAAATAAATCTTAAGATTAAAATGCAAAATAAAGCTTAAGAGGAATATTGGAACTTGCTTACAGAAAATAACTGGTGAGATAGTTTTAAGTCACCTTACTTTGTTTCTCCTCTGTGATCATTGGTTATATATTCTTTTCATTAAGGTGAATATATAACCTTAATGAAATATATAATATATAATATATAACCTTCTCTTCCAGATCTTTTAACCTGTTTATGAAAACAAAGATATCTTTGTTTACTAATCATAAAGAGAAAAACGTAATTATTTGGAAAATAATCTGGTAAATGCTGCACATTTTACTGATTTTATTAATTATTTTTTAACTATTTCTTTTCTCAAAAGTCAAATTCTAGTTTCTAAGTAGAGTGAAGAAAATTTTTTGTTGTTGTTATTGGAGTCGGAGTCTCACTCTCTTGCCCAGGCTGAAGTGCATACGGCCTTCGAAAATAACAAAAATATTTTAAAAGCCCCCTTGCTATTTTGGGTTCTTACTGGAAAATAATAGTTCCCTGTAATTTTGGTTTTTAAAAGTTCAGGCATTCATTTGATTAAAAATCCTGAACTTTTTCTTTCAGTCATTTTCTCTTTTGATTTATACGTGTTTGTACCCGGATCTTTATAAGTAATTGTTCTTTAACAAAGTATTTGCATATAAACTGTAAGCTTTTTATTGAAGGGTCTTTTAATGTATACTTCATAGAGTCATTCACTAATTTACTATAACGTTTACTGTGTGTTCATTGCAATTTTTTGTAGGTATATTTAGACTAAATTGAAGCCTCTTACAGATATCTACTATGTGGGGACATTAGTTTACTTGAACATAGGTGTAGGTATTTCCTTTTTTTTTAAAGGTTCATTATGATTCCTGGTCTCAGACTTCACTGAAAATGAGGAGCAACTACCTGGAATAACTGTACCGAAATCCAGGACCAAGGATTTCTTTTTCCTATTAGGGAAAAAGAAAACCAATGTCCGACTGACAGCAGATTGATATCAACTATGTTCTTAGTTTGAAAATGAGAATAAAGAGTTTGTTAGCAAGTAAAAATAAAAGAGCCATGGCTTGCCAAAACCTTTTTCTAAAGGTTTTTATTTCTATAGACTTTCTCCTCCAAAAAGAGTTATTTTCCACTTTAAAATCTTCATTGTGGAAATCAAGCATGATTTATCCTTTAAAATCTGATGACCTAGGGGCTCCTTTTTCTTTATTATTTTGTGTCCAGCTTATTCAGATCTAAACACGCAATGTTTGTCTGTGAAGTGATTGATGATATTCCATATCTTAGCTATTATAATGTATTAGATATTATATGTATTAGATATTACATATCTTAGTATAATTTCCATGTGTCAAAAAAAAAGTTGGAGGAAAAAGTCTGTAGAAATAAAACCTTGAACATATGAACACAACATGCATTGCTTTCTTTCTACCATTTGCTTTACTACTAAAGTGTATTCTAAGAGACTGTTTTCTTAGAGTGGTCCTAGTTCCGTAGGCAAAGGCTTTTTGTGCTTCTTAGAAATAGCTATCACAGTTTCTCATCACGCCTAAAAGTTAGGCTTATTTTACCATTCTGAGGTAATTGGGAACATAATTAATATGAACATTTTTTATTTCAGAAATTCCATTATAGAAACCTTCTTCTTGGTGAACATGATGTCCCTTTAACATGTATTGAGCAAATTGTGACAGGTATGTTGTAAAAAGTTGATTCCACTCTGGAAGTATTGCTTGAAAAGTCATACCTCTTTAATATTTGGGTTGGAGTTTCATATTTGTTAGATTACTTTTACCATTTTTTTGAGTCCCAAGAACAGTAATGAAAGATGGGCAAGAAATTATTTTTAAAAGGGAGATGTAGAATGTATAGCTTTTTATGGTTTTGAGTCCTTGTCCTCTTTTTAAAACATTTTAATCATTAAATGCATCTAGATGGTAGTGTTTTTATGCAAAGAATCATTTGAAACATCTTCCAAAGCAAAGTTAAAACCAAGTACCCAGGTTCTGAGAATTAAAGACAAATATGAAAGATTCCACGCCAGGCGTGGTAGCTTGCACTTGTAAACCCAGCACTTATGAGAGGCTGAGGTGGGAGGATTGGTTGAGTCAGGAATTTCAGACTACCCTGGGCAACATAGTGAGATTCTGTCTCTACAAAAAATAAAAATTTGCTGAGCATGGTGGCATGCACCTGTAACCCTAGCTACTCGGAAGGCTGTTCCAGTCTATGCCGCAGCAAATGCAGAGGAGCAGAATGTCCAGTCGGAGGCTTGCTCTGTATTCTGCAATAAAGCAATAGTGAGCCCAGGAGTTTGAGGCTGTAGTGAGCTAAGACTGCACTACTGCACTCCAACCTGGGCAACAGAGTAAGACCTTGTCTGAAAAAATATATAAGCAAATAAATAATTAAAGAAAGAAAGATTTCAGATTCCAGAGCAGCAGTACTCAAGTGATGAGTGACCTTTCACTAAGAATTTGTACTAAAGGATGAGTAACAAGATACAATTTTTATACATTTTTTTTCTTTCTTTCATTTTTTTCCAGTAAATGACCACAAGAGGAAGCAGAAAGTCCTAGGCCCCAACCAGAAACTGAAATTTAATCCAACGGAGTTAATTATTTATTGTAAAGATTTCAGAATTGTTAGATTTCGCTTTGATGAATCAGGTCCTGAAAGTGCCAGAAAGGTAATACTGTTATATTTTATTAGCTTCTGTGTTCTGCTCTGTATTTAAGAGTTCTGTATGGAAGTTTTCATTTCTCAGTTGCTCAGATTTTTGGGGGGAAGTTATCATCAGAGATCTCCTTAAGTAAAGTCAAAGTAAAGGGGAGATGGGGGTCATGCGGTTTGTGGTCAAAATATATTAATACAGCCAACTTGTGAAATTTGAGTCAGGACAGCCAATATTAATACACCTATTTCCTTGGATTCATGAATGACTACTTTGAAGTATTTTACATAACTTTTTCAATCAGTTCCTAAAATATTAAAGACTTATGTGGAAATTAATGTGGTTTTTACATTAAGATCATTACCTGTGGATTTCTTTTCTTGTTTGAAAAGTCAGCAGTGTACTATAAGGGTTAGTAGTTTCAATACTGCAGAACTCTACCAACAAACTGAAAGCTAGACATAGAGTACATAAGGGTTAGGTAAATGCATAGCTATGGGAGGAGTTTAATGATTACTAGAGGCTTCAAGAAAACTTATGATTGATTTGAGTGATGCTAGACGGGGACAGCTCAAAGCTGGTGACCTTTTAATCGCCCTATTTTCTCCCTGCTTTCCAGGGAATGTTTGTCAAGGGCAACAATTTCTACTTCTTTGATTCCGTGTTTTGGTTTGCCAGAGGAGTGAAGCTGGTAGACCTCATGCCCCTTTGTTCCAGTTTATGCCGCAGCAAGTGCACAATAACAATGTCCAGTAGGAAGCCTGCTCCATGTATTGGGAATAAAGCAGTAGTGTCTTAGTGGAACAAGAAGTTGCTTTCTCTCAGAACTGAGGCAGCCTTTGCACCACCTAGCAGTGGGTGCATTTGTTTTCCATGGTCAATATAGACTGACTGCAGTAACATTTCTGATGATACCAATATGAGACTGTCAAAAGGATCTTAAGGCAATTGTCTTCATATGCTTTGGCAAGAAGGTGGTAGGTTTGTTTCTAGATCTAGAACCAGCAGTTTCTTCACATTACTGTGAAGAAAGCATGAGATGAATAGCTGAACACACATGACTGTCTAGCCCAGAGCAGAGTGATGATGGGCTCTATAGCTAAAAGTTTTCAGATATAGTCTTATATCTTGGCATGCTGCATTATTGAAAATTCAACTGGGTAACTCTTTAGGACCCTTTCACCTGTTCTATTGTGCTGTTGTGACTTTGGTATTTTACTAATTTGTAGAAAAACTTTAGAATTAATTAGGCAGTAGACTGTACATAAAATGTTTAGTAAAGTTTCTTCTCAAGCTTAAATATATACCTGTAATTTAGTTGATCACAATATCAAGAACCTGCTTATAAAAACATCAACTTTAAGATGTATAGCATCACCTGGACACGGTGGCACACGCCTGTTAATCCTAGCACTTTGGGAGGCCAAGGTGAGAAGATTGCCTGAGCCCAGGGTTCGAGACCAGCCTGGGCATCTTGGTGAAACCTCATCTCTACAATAAATCAAGGAAAAGTTAGCTTGGCATGGTGGCACATGCCTGTAGCTCCAGTTACTTAGAGGGCTGAGGCTGAAGGTTTGTCTGAGCCCAGCAGGTTGAGGCTGCAATGGCCATGAGCATCCCACTGCCCTCCAGCCTATGTGACAGAGTGAGATTCCCAACTCAAAAAAAATTTAATTTTTAAATTAAAAAATTAAAAACAAAAGATATATAGCTTCTCAAGGAAAGGGACTCCATAGAACTTGTGAGATTTGGGCTAGGACAGCATATTTTTAAGGAAGAAATTGATATAATTGGACCAATATTCCTTGAAAGTTTGATGCTTTCCTACTCTCTTACTGTATTTTTCAGATGACATTATTTATTTATTTATTTTTCTCTTTTTTTTTTTGAGTTGGAGTCTCACTCTGTCGCCCAGACTGGAGTACAGTGGCCACTCCCAGCCACCGCAGCCTCGACCTGCTGGGCTCCGGCGATCCTTCCACCTCAGCCTTCAAAGTAGCCGGAATTACAGGCATGCGCTACCACGCCCGGCTGATTTTTTTGATTTATTGTAGAGATGAGGTCTCGCTGCCCAGGCGGGTCTCGAACCCGCGGGCTCAGGCAATCCACTCACCTCAGCATCCCACAGGCGTGGGATTACAGGCTGAGACACCAAGCCCGGCGACGTTGTTTTAATAAGTGAAAGTTATAATTATTTGGCCTGGTCCTTGAACCATCTGTAGTTGTTGGTCATTTTGATGTATGAGGCGGTGTGCCAAGTTTTGCAAGATAGAAGAAGAAGATACCATTTCTTACCCTGAACAACTTAAACCTAGTTGAGAAGTCAAAGTGTTTGAGCGAGTGAAAATTAAGTAATGGTACAAAGTAGCAGCATAAAAGATATTTCCACCTAAGTGATTAGTTGCCACATAAACAAAGCATCATAAATGTGCTGGAAATTCAGGCTATCCTTTGTCTGTTGTGCTGCTGAAGAGTGATGAAGAAGGCCTCACTGAGCTGTCTACCCAAGGCAAGCACATCTCATGCCCTTTCCCAAGAGCACGTTTCTGACAAAAATCCTTTCCCCTGTGTCTTAAAATATAAAAAGCGCTGTGAGTGTGCCACTGCACTCCAGCCTGGACAACTGAGTGAGACTCCAACACACACACAAAAAGAAAAATAATATATAAAAAGCGTGTTCTCTTAGGCTTGTAAGAAATACTTTCTCGCTGTTTGTATAGTCGTGGGGGAAATTCAGGGGGAAAAAATTGTGCAATGGGAATATAAATAGAGAGTTTGTTTCCTGGTTTACATGTTTCAAACACCGAGGGTGAAGTCATGGGTGGCTACCAAAGCTCAATGCTTTTGTGAGTTAAAAACAAAAATTCTGGCATACTCTTATTTCAAGTGAAAGCTTTAATCTAAAATTAAGTAGCAGTTGAAGCCAGACATAGCAGCTCACTACTGGAATTATAGTACTTTGGGGGGCTAAGATGGAGGATCACTTGAGGCCAGGAGTTTAAGACCAGCCTGGGCAACTGTAGTAAGACCCCATTCTACCAAACAATTTAAGAAATTTTTCTGGTCATGGTGGTATGTGACTGTAGTCTTTGCTGCTTGGAAGGCTGAGATAAGAGGGTCACTTGAGACCAGGAGTCTGAGGCTCCAGTAAGCTATGATCACACCACTATACTCCAGCCTGGGTCCCATAGCAAAACATTCTCTCTAAAAAATAAAAGAAAAGTAGGAATTGGGAAATCATGGCTCATTTTTACTTCCTAGAGGCTTTTAATGCTAAGTTTTCTCTGGAAAATGCTTTGATTTTATAAGTTATTTTAAAATGACCAGATGCATGTTTGGAGTTCTCTGTTGGGTAAACCATGGATTAATTTTGAAATACATAAGGTATTTATATTTTCATTTGAAAAATAAAATCTCAGAATACTAAGTTGGTTTACATTTTGCTAAATGTTGCTCTAAAATCTTCTGGTTGTCTAGTTGATATTGCCTCAATTGTATTATGACAGAATCAGATTCCTTTGTGCACTTGTATTCATTAACATTCATTCTTAGTATCTAACTTGGGCTGTCATAGGAAAATAATGATATTTGGTAAAGGTCTACATAAAGAAGGAATTTGATGATGCAGAATTTAACATCTAACCTCATAGCAACTTTGAACTATCATTTTGTTTTGAAGAACCTTTGCTCAATATTGAGGGGCAGGCCAGACATGGTGGCTCACACCTGTAATCCCAGCACTCTGGGAGGCCACAGTGGGAGAATTGCTTGAGCCCAGGAGTTCAAGACCAACCTAAACAATATAGCAAGACCTCACGTCCACAAAAAAATCAAAAAATTAGCCAGATGTGGTGGCGTGTACCTGTAATCCCAACTACTCGGGAGGCTGAGGCAAGAGGATTGCCTGAGCCCAGGAGGTTAAGGCTGCAGTGAACCATGATCATGCCACTGCACTCCAGATTGAGTGACAGAGTGAGACCCCCGACTCAAAAAAAAAAAAAAAAAACCTTGAAGGGCAAAAGTTAAGTTTGTTTTTAATGATTAATCTACCTGTGTGTCTGTCTGTCTATATCTGTAGACGGATAGGTACGAGAGGGGACCCAGGAAAAAAACGGAATTTATTTATAAAAAATTGTGTTGTTATTACATAATTAAACTTCAGTCACCTTCAGAGAACTCTCTGTGCAATGCAGTACACCTATTGAGATGCTTTTTCTACTGCTCAAATCGGTTTTTGAACTCATCAGTTTTGATGTCTTTCTGCCCTTTTTTATTTCACTTCTTCCATACTGGCAAAGCGTTTCCTTTTTGAGGATGTTTTTTTCATCTGGGGAAACAAAAAAAAAAGCGCTGAGGATGAGATAGCGTGAATGGTGATGGTGGGGTGATGGGGGTCATGCTGTTTGTGGTCAAAAACTGCTGAACACTCTGCGTGGTGTGGGCAGGTACACTTGAAAATCACTCATCATGAGATGGGCAAACGTGTTGAAAGAATCTGCAAAACAAATTAATTGAAGCCGAATGCAGCCTCTCATAGCAACCCTAGCTGGTACACTGATGCTGATGTGTTCCTAGAACACTTACCTAGCAGAGGAAGCCTATGCTACAAGGGGCCTGCCCCTGGAAAAATAATTCTAGGTTTTTTTGTGGTCGCCCCTTGTACATATGGCTGTTAAGTGAACTGTGTACCCTTTGTCTCCATCTTACTCTCAGAAGCAGTTGTTGAACCACTTGTTCAAGCAGACTTTCTAGAAGTGAATTCAGTTCATCTAATTAAAGAACAAATTGGCCGTTTTAAGAACTGTCATTTTTGCCTTGAATTTTATACTTATTCCTTGGTGACTTTCAGACCACATAAATATAGACCATAATTTTGTTAACAAATGTGACAGAATTTGATGAGGTTTGAGTGTCTCCTGGGTTTGTGCTTCTCCATTGACTTTGGGTACTTCTGGCTTCTGTACAGAAAAGAGTATCAGCCTTAGTCAAAAAATTGCTTCAAAAATAGTGTACTTGTTTTTCTCCAATAAAATATTTACCATAATTTGATGCCTTTAATACACAGATTTTCTTCATTTCCTGTGATTGACAGGACAAATGAACTATTTCAAAGACATTTTAAAATACACAGTTTTTCAAAACATTGTTCATGCTTAGAGAGTAATTGCAAAATTAGGATAATTTTGTATGAAAATAAGACCTTTTTAAAAGAATTTCAGAAACTCATAGGAATGGAAGGTAGAAATTTGAACATAAGCTATTTAAATCGTGTATATGAAAAAGTGCAAAAAAAAAAAGGACACCTGGCTTGCTTTCTCTTCTCAAACTGTTTCACAGTAATAGCATGAATATAAACCAGAGACATTTTGTATGTGCCTTTGTATTTCGTGTAACTTAGGTTATATGAAAGTAAGTTATACACACTGTAATTACACTACTGAAAAACAATACATTTAATTCAAGTTATGTCTCCTCCAAGTCAAGCATTGTAGAAGTAATTAAACTGAGTTTCAGTTTTGTAATATTTTGTAAGAACATCTTTAAATATAAATGCTGTTAACATATTCTTTTGTCCTCTAGCCTAATATGATACTGTGCTATTTTTAAGGGGCTTTTTAGAAATAAGCTGGGTTGGGTTTTGCCTTGCAAATAGACTTTGTTTCTTTTTTGCTTTCTGGCCACAAAAATAATTTCCATAATCAATGTTCTGTGAATTTATTTTGCGTAAATGGGGCCTGTGACTGCTTTCTAATTGTCTTAGAGAACATGACATACTAGTATAATTGGCTGGGAGCATTTTTCTTAACATGTTAGTAGCTAATTTTGTCAACTAGTCTTGTTAGTGCAGCCACTGTTGGACACAAAGCACCTTCAAAAAGCTACTGAAGTGATGCTACAAAATGCAGAAGTGTTCAGGTCTTTATCAAGCCTGTGCACAGAGGTGTTTCTTGGTCTAAATTTTTAACCTGCTTCCCTCTTCTCTCACTCTAACACTTCATATTCCCCATCCCTGCTGTATTTTTTTTCTCCTTTAGCACTTATATATAATTATCTAACTATATTTTTTCTTGTTTATCTTGTTTAGTGTCTTCTTCACTAGAATATAAGCTTAATGGGGACGAGGATTTACACCTGTTTTGTTCACTGAATTCCCCAAAGCTTAGAACATTGTAGGTGTCAGTACATATTTGTTGAATTAATGAGCAATATAGCATCTATCTTTAATAAATTGACCTTAGTGGTAGAAGAATAACAAAGAACCACCTATGTTCTGCTTTTCATCCCCATCATAATAATATGTGACTACCTTGGAAGTTCAGCTACATGAGCACAATTAACTAAAAAGACACTTTATATTGGAACTGTCATTTTTTGGAGGGATCAGAGGTTTCTGGAATTAATACTCTAAAACTGGCTCAGCCTAGGAAGACTTGTGAAGAGAGTAGTGTTGAATAGATATGAGAGGTTCCAAGAAAAAGCACTGTTGGTGAAGAGGAGCAGGATTTCCCAAACAGGTGACTGGGCTAAGTTAGACAGAAAATATGCAGACATGTTTTTCTCTGACCAAAGACTACTGAAGGGAATAGTGGCAAGATGAGAGACATCTGGTGAGAAGCGTCCATTTTGTGAAGAATCAAGAATGAAATCTAATTTATTATGCTAGAGTCTGGGAACCACAGCAGATGATCAAGAGAACAAAGCTATTAGTCAAAATTATATCTTTAGAAGAGAATTCTTACATGTTGTAGGATTCTAGAAGATAGGGAAGCTCACAGAGGGTGCTGTAAGATTAGTCTGGCTTAAAGACGTGGCTATGGCAGTTTAGCAAAATGGACAAATATTTTAAAAGTCTAGGCCAGGCGCAGTGGCTCAGGCCTATAATCCCAGCACTTTGGGAGGCTGAGGCCGGAAGATTGCTTGATCCCAGGAGTTCAAGACCAGCCTAGGTAACATAGCAAGACCTCGTCTCTACAAAAAACCAAAAAAAAATTAGTTGGGCATGGTGGTGCGTGCCTGTAGTCCCAGCTACTTGGGAGACTGAGGCAGAAGGATTGCCTGAGTCTGGGAGGTTGTGGCTGTGGTGAGTTGTGATGGTACCACTGCACTCTAGCCTGGGTGGCAGAACAAGACCCTTTTTCAAAAAAAAAGAAAAAAAAATCTAGAGGAAAGTACAGCAAAACATGGTGCCCAGAAGAATAGGAAGTGATGACTTTTTCAAGGTACAGAGCTCAGTAGTTTTGCTGCTAGAAGAATTGCTTTAAGGAAGACTCTTGAATAGACAGGAATGGGAATGTAACTCTCCTATAGGCATTGGGAAGTCAAGGTATTATGAAAGCTTCAGAAAGCTTTTTTTTTTCTTTGTCTAAATTAATGATAAATTCTCTTCCCTTGGTTGTATAGTTTAACTTTGTAAGACAGGAAACATTTGTTCTTGAAAAGACTTTTAAAATATAGTTTAAGCAACAAGCTGACACATACTTACTAGTTAGTGGAATTTGGTCAACACATTCCAGACACCAATTTGACATGAACTAACAACTACTTTCTTGCTTTCCCAGTGTGAAAAGTATATCATTCCGGCTTAATGCTTACCTTCTAAATGATATTTAATCTTTTCCAGTAAGATCTTCTGTTATTCTCTCCTTGCATATGCCTGAAGTTTCTTCTTTCTTCTCTGTTCATTTGAGAGCATTTTCTCGCACATTCTGGTCCAGGGTGTTTAACCATAGAGCACCGTCCCTCAATCTATCCAGCAGCAGATGAGAATAGTAACAGGTGTATTTCCGTATGTGGAGCTCTTCCAAAAGCCTAGCATACTTCAGGAGTGTTAATCCTCACCACAGCCTGCTGTTACCTTCATTTACTGATGAGGAGCCTGAGGCTGGAAGAGCAAAATTAGCCTTACACAGGTTATAGACCAAGTACTTGATAGAGCAAGGATCCAAGCTCTGATCTGTTTGATCTTCTGAAAGCCCATGCTTTTTTTCACCATGGGGCATAGTCTCAAATCATTTTACTTAAACACAGTTTTTTTGATGTGCCTCTTTGAGCCATCCACATTGTTTGGGGTATCTTGCTAATTTTAGTTGTTTGTGATTGTAGCTTCTCTATTTAGTTTAAATTTTTTAACCAGTGAGGTGAAAACATTAAAATGTTCATGTCTTATATTAAGCCTGTGTAGTCCACCAGAAAAATGAAACCTTTTTTTTTTTTTTTTTTTTTTTTTTTGTGGTGTGGATATGTTGTCACTGCTTTTTTGGAGAATGCTTCTTTAACTTTCAAGTTTTATTTGTTGGAATAGAATTACTTTCCAATTAAAATTCAACTCAGTAAATACTGAATAAGTGCCATATGCTAACAAAAGATTAAAAAATGTCTTGGGGGCATAACAATGAATAAGATACCTGGCTTTAAGGAGCTCTTTAGTATTCTAGGTCAATAGAAAAACATGTAACTAGAATCTATAATCATTGCCCTGAGATGACACTCCCAGTGACCAAGGCCTTACTGTACATTTCATTTAACTAAGTGTGTTAAAATCAAATTCTAAATGTAGAATTTTTCCTAGGTATGCCTTGCAATAGCTCATTATTCCCAGCCAACAGACCTCCAGCTACTCTTTGCATTTGAATATGTTGGGAAAAAATACCACAATTCAGGTAAATATGAAAATATTAAATATTGTGACTAATTTTACATGTTTAAATTTTACTCTTATGTTTATCAGAAGGCTCCAAGTACATGAGCTTTAATAATTGTAGAATTATTAGCTTCATACCTATTAGAGACGTAAGCACTATATACTAAAAGAGCCAATAATTGGTCAGATGATTTCTTGAAAAGTGACCAGGAAGAACCTGTAAGTAGCTATAAATATGGGCTTCTAAGAGTCATGTCAGATATCTTACTTTCGGTCATGGGCTTATATTTTATGATAAAGAATATGTTCCCTACCTTTTAAATTTGTATCTTGAATTAAAGTAATCATTTTTTTAAAACTGGCAGAAAACTAAAAGATTGTTAAAGAGCATAACCTTTTCTGGCAAGGTGTGATTTCATGCAAAAACTGAAGTAGTCAAAAATTTTTTGTAGGCTTCATTAACATTCTCAAAATAGTGACTTTCTATTTCTGAATAAGATTGAAAGGAATTTGGGTGTCTGTTTATTGTTGGTGTATGGGAATGTGACTATTTTGCACATTTATTTTATAGCCTGAGACTTTGCCAAAGTTCTTTATCAGTGCACGGAGATTCTCTTGGGTTTTTGAGGTATAGAATCATGTCATCTGCAAAGAGGGATAACTTAACTTCTGCTTTTCCTATTTGGATACCTCTGATTTCCTTCTCTTGTCTGATTACTGTAATTGGGACTTCCAATACTATGTTGAACAGGAGGGGTGAGAGTGGGCATCCTTGTCTTCTTCCAGTTTTCAGGGAGAATGTTTCCAGTTTCTGTCTGTTTAGCAGTATGCTGGCTGTGGGTTTCTCATATATGGCTCTTACTATTTTGAGTTATGTTCCATCTGTGCCTAGATATTCCAGAGTTTTTATCAAGAAGCGGTGCTGGATTTTATCAAAAGTTTTTCTGCATCTAATGATACGATAATGTGGTTTCTGTTTTTACATCTGTTGATGTGTTTAATTTTGTTTATGATCTTGTGGGTGTTGGACCAGCCCTGCATCCCGGGGATGAAATCTACTTGGTCATGATGGATGATTTTCGAGATGTGTTGTTGCGTACAGTTTGCTAGAATCTTGTTTAGAATTTTAGCATCTATGTTCATGAAGTATATTGACTTGTTGTTCTCTTTCTTTATTGGATCTTTACCTGGTTTGGGTATCAATGTGATGTTAGCTTCATAAAATGATTTGGGGAGAGTTCCATCTTTCTTGATTGCCTGGAATACTTTCAGTAGCCTTGGTATCAGCTCCTCCTTGTACGTTTTGTAGAATTCTGTTGGAAAGCCATCTGGCCCAGGGCTTTTTTTCTTTGTAGGTAGTTTTCTTATGACATAGTCGATTTCCTGGGTTGTTATTGGTCAATTTAGGGTCTCGATTTCTTGTTTCAACTTGGGGAGGTTGTGTGATGTCAGAAAATTCTCCATCTCCTTTAGGTTTTCAAGTTTGTTTCCATACAAGTGTGCATAGTAATATCTGATAATCTTTTGTATTTCTTTGGGGTCAGTTGTGACTTGATCTTTTGCATTTCTGATTGTGTTTATTTGGGCTTTTTATCTTTTCTCTTGGTCAGTCTAGCTAGGGTTCCATCAATCTTGTATATCCTTTCAAAGAACCAGCTTTTGGTTTCATTGATTTTTTGTGTTTGTTTTTTTTTTGTCTTCTATGTCCTGAATTTGGGCTTTTATTTTGGTAATCTGGATTCTTCTGCTGGAGTTAGGATTTTGGTGGTCTTGCTTTTCCAACTTCCTTAGGTTATTTGTTAGACTGTTAACTTGTGATCTTTCCATTTTCTTCATGTGTGTTCGTAGAGATATGAATTCCCCTCCTAGTACTGATTTCATGGCGTCCCAGAGATTCTGGTAAGATGTTTCTTCATTTTCATTTGTTTCTAGGATTCTTTTCATCTCTGTTTTGATTTCTGTGTTGACCCAGGAGTTGTTCAGCATCATGCTGTTTAGTATCCATGTCTTTGTGGGTTTTGGGGGTACTTTGTTGGTATTGATATTTATTTTTATTCCACTGTGGATGCATGAAGAAGGTGCATGGCAGTATTTCAGATTTATGAAATTTGTTAATGTTTCATTTATGGCCAAGAATGTGGTCAGTCTTAGTGTGTTCCATGTGGTATAAGTAAAATGTATATTCTGTAGTTTTGGGTTGGAGTGTTCTGTGGGTATCAATTAAGTCCATTTGGTCAAGCATCTCATTGAGGTTCTGGATCTCCTTGTTGATTTTTTTGTCTTAATGATCTTTCTAGGGTTGTTATGATAGTGTTAGAGTCAGTATCTTTCTTTAGTTTACCTAGAAGCTGATTTATGAAAGTTGGTGCTCCTATATTGGGTGCATATATGTTTAGGATAGATATTTCTTGTTAATGGATTGATCCTTTTATCATTATGTAGAGACCTTCTGCATCTTTTTAAATTTTTGATGGCTTAAAGGGTATTTTGTCAGATATTAACAACACAACTCAGCTGGGTGTGGTGGCTCAAACCTGTAATCCCAGAACTTTGGGAAGCTGAGGTGAGAAGATTGCCTGAGCTCACAGGTTTGAGAACAGCCTGGGCAACTTGGCAAGACCTCATCTCTAAAATAAATTTTTAAAAATTAGCCAGTCATGGTGGCACGCACCTGAACTTCCAACTACTTGAAAGGCTGAGGCGGCAGGATCGCCTGAGCCCAGCAAGTTGATGCTGTGGTGGCCATGAGCATGCCACTGAACTGTAACCTGGGCGACAAAGTGAGACTCCAATTCAAAACAAAACAAAAAAGATCGCAACTCGTACTTTCTTTTGTATTCTGTTCACCTAAAATTTTGTTTTTCACTCTGAGTCTGTGAGTGTCCTTTCTGGTGAGATGAGTCTCTTGGAGACAGTATATTGTTGGATCATGATATTTTATCCAATTTGTCATCCTATGTCTTTTCAGTGGTGCATTTAGTCCATTTACATTCAGGCTAATTATTCAGATGTGAGAGTTTATCCCTGTCATGAGGTTCTTATAGAGTTTGTTGTTGTTGCTGTTGTTTGTTGACTTTCTTTTGATTTTTGGGTTGATTTCATGTGTATTTTCAGACTTTCCTGCATTCTTTGGAAAGGGCATTGTCGTTCTTTTTTTCCTTTCTTCCGTGTTTAATACTTTCTTAAGTATTTCTTGTAGAGCTGGTCTGGAGGCAGCATAAGCTCTTAGGAATTGAATGTCTAGGAAGGATTTTAATTCTCCATCACTGATGATAGCTGGACAGATAATTCTGGGCTGAAATTGTTTGTCTTTGACAACTTTGAGATTGGGCTCCAAGTTCTCCTAGCCTGAAGTGTTTCTGTAGATAAGTCTGCTGCTAGTCTAATCGGTTTTCCCCAGTAGGTAGTCTGATCTTTCTCTCTTGCTGCCTTTAGGATTTTTTTCTTTTCTACCTACTTTGTGTAGACAAAGTACTGAGTGTCTAGGAGTTGGTTTTCTTATTTGTTGTCTTGTAGGGGTTCTCTGAATCTCTTGTGTTTAAATGGTCGCGTCACTGATGAGGTGAGGGAAGTTTTCTTGGATGATTTCATGGAATGTTTTTTAGGGTGGTCTCTGTCTCTGTCTGCCTCTGGGATTCCAGTTAATCTTAGGTTCGGCCGCTTGATATCATCACTCATCTCTTACAGGTTTTGTTCTGTCTTTTTTTTTTTTTTTTGAGTTAGAGTCTCATTGTCCCCCAGACTGGAGTGCAGTGGCTGCTCCTGGCTACCACAGCCTCGACCTGCTGGGCTCTGGCGATCCTTCCGCCTCAGCCTTCCAAGTAACTGGAACTACAGGCGCTACCACACTCAGCTAATTTTTTTGATTTATTGTAGAGATGAGGTCTCACCAAGTTGCCCAGACGAGTCTTGAACCTGCGGGCTCAGGCAATCCTCTCACCTCAGCCTCCCAAGGTGCGGGATTACAGGCTGAGCCACCGAGCCCGGCTTGTTCTGTCTTTTTAACCTTCTTTTCTATGTTTTTAACAGTTTGGGTTAGTTCCATATTTTGGTCAAGTTCTGAGATTCTTCTGCTTGGTTAATTCTGCTTTCCATGTTTATCAGTTTGTTATGTCATTAACTGTATTCTTTATTACTGTTATCTCAGTTGTCAACTCCTTTATTCTTTCCTTTTGTCTCTCTTCATTTCTATTTATTCTCTCTCTTAATATCTTGATATCTGGGTTTGTAGTTTGGGACTGGTCATTCTAGGGGCTCTTCATTGTTTGAGTTCCAAAGTCTTCATTCTCAGTGGCTGTTCTCTCAGGTGTCTGCGTGAGACTCATATTCTTCCTTTGGTTTTCCTTCATTTGTGTAGGTTTTCCTCCCCCCCGCCTTCCCTTTTTTTTAACCTCTTTTTTTATTCTGTTGTTCAGTTATGGGGGTGTAGCTTTTATTTCTGTTTGCTCAATCTCTTATTCTTCCTCATGCAGATCCTCTGGCTTTCTTCAATTCTGAAGTTGGACTAAGGGTGGGGACTTTTCTTTTTGCAGTTTTGAGATTTAATTAAAGGGGAAACTGATTCAGAAGCTATCTGCAGATCCCAGTATCCGCTGTGTGGGCCCCCTGGAACCCACTTCCCACCATCTTACAATCTGTCAGTGCAGTGGGGGTGTCTGTTTGCTCCCTGAAAGAAAAATGAGGTAAGGAAAAGAATGGAATAAAAAGCACAATCCCATTTGTAGTAGCCACAAAAAAAAAAAAGAAAAAAGAAATACCCCGGCATCTTTCTAACCAGAGATGTGAAAGACCTTTACAATGAAAACTACAAAACACTGCTTAAAGAAATCAAAGGTGACACAAACAAATGGAAAAATATTCCATGCTCATGAATTGGAAGAATCAACATTGTTAAGGTTTTCTTCCTACCCAAGGCAATCTACAGATTTAACACAATACCCATTAAATTACCAGCAGCATTCTCAGACCTGGAAACAGCAATACAGGAAGTCATATGGAAACATAAACAACCATGAATTGCCAAAACAGTCCTCAGCAAAAACAACAAATCAGGAAGTGTCACACTCCTAGACTTTAAACTTTATTATAAAGCTACAATAATCAAAACAGCCTGGTATTATAGACCAAGGGAATAGAATTGAGATTCCAGAAGCAAAACCTCAATTTCTCAACCAACTCATTTTCGACAAAGCCTCCGCCACCAACCCACCACTGGGGAGAGGAGAACCTATTCAGTAAATATTGCTGGGAAAACTGACTGACCACATTAGAAGATTAAAACAAGACCCCTACCTATCACCATATGCAAGATTTAACTCTAAATGAATGAAAGACCTAAACATAAAACCTCAAGCTATAAGAACCTTAGAAAATGCAGGAGACACCCTTATGGAAATTGGAGCTGGCAACCAGTTCCTGGTCAAAACCTCCAGTGCCCCTGCCATAAGAGATAAGATAGACAAGTGGGACCTCATCAAACAGACAAGCTTCTACAAAGCCAAAGAAACCATCGAGAGAGCAGGGAGATAGTGCACCGGCTGGAAAAAAAATATTTATTGACCAGGGCCTAGCTTCTGAGATCTACAGGGAACTCAAATATGCCAAAAAGATAAAAAACAAACAGCCCCATTACAAAGTGGGCAAAAGAGATGAACAGACACTTCTTAAAAGAAGACATACGAGCAGTCAACATATACATGAAAAAATACTCAGCCTCATTATTCATCAAAGAAATGCAAATTAAAACCACACTGAGATACCCCCTAACTCCAGTCAGGATGGCCATCATCAATAACTCAAAAAAACAACAGATACTGGAGAGGAGGTGGGGGAAAAGGGAGCACTCCTACACTGTTGGTGGGAGGGTAAGCTAGTACGATTTCTGTGGAAAACAGTTTGGTGATTCCTAAAAGATCTAAAAATTGACCTTCCATACAACCCTGCAGTCCCCCTACTGGGAACATACCCAGAGGAATTCACATCACTCTATGAAAAAGATACCTGCACATGTATGTTTATTGCAGCATTATTCACAATAGCAAGAACATGGAACCAACCATGCTGCCCATCAAAAGAGGACTGGATAAAAAAAAATGTGGTACATATACAGAATGGAATATTACACAGCCATAAAGAAGGACAAAATGATGAACTTCACAGCAACTTTGATGAACTTAGAGACTATAATATTGAGTGATCTATTACAAAAACAAAGAACTGAGTATCACATGTTCTCACTCGTAAGTGGACCTTGAACAACTATCGTAATACTATAAGGAATTGGTAGTTTGAGAAACTGCTAGGGGAGGACAGGGGCATGATTGGCAGGAGTGGGAAACTGCCGGGAGTGGGGAGGGCACACCTCATCAACAAGGGTACCTGCATAATGAATAGTTGTATAGCTAAACCTGAATTGTACCCCACATATGTAAAATAAAAAGTTTTTTTAAAAAAAGAATTGAACTGAAGATCAGCATTTGTTCAAAGGACAGGAATATTCTAGGCATTTTTTGTGTTAGTAAAATAGGTTTTGTGACAGCCATGACATTACCACGTAAATATCTAGATGATCATGTAATTCTGTACATTCTGTTTACATACAAATGTAATTTTGATAACTTGTTTTTTAAAAATATTTTAAAAAGAAACAGTAAAACAAAGAGATCATATCTCCAGTTAGCCTCCTGTGGGTTAGTGTCTGTGCCTTGACTAGCTGACTGAAACTTGTGTTCTCTCACTATTTAATGAAGAAAAATAAATCAACTGGGTATTTATGATAAAAAATCCATTCACCCCAGCATTGTTTGGGTCTTACAAGTTATTAATTGTAGTAGACTTTTATGTTTTATTACTTTAAAACATATGGTAATAATTCTAACCTGTATAATAAAACTATATTCCAGTATCTCTATGTTATAAATACATTATAATGTAGTATCAGCACATAGTATCTGCAGATGCATGTAGTGTAAATACATTTTTCATTACTTTAAAATGTACTTAATACTGTGGAGTTGACATGAAAATAATATCTTGCAGAACAACTTTTACAGTACTATAGTTACAGAGATTGGATAATAAAAGTGTTTGTAACTTAATTTTTCTTATCAAAATGTATATAATTGTAACTTAGGCTTGAGCAGTACAGTTTTTTAAAAAGTTTATTCCTTAATATAAAGTAAATTCACTTATTGTCTAAGAGTGTTATTGATCCTGCACTATTATTCAAATAACCACTCCTCTGGGTCATCAGGAGGCTACAGAGCAGTGTTTATCAAGATTATCTTTAATAAGATCTCACCCAAAGTTGGAAGAAAGAAGCTGAAATGAAAATTTCAAGAGGTACAAGAGTTGTAGGAATGGGCCTTTGATTCCTGCTTAAATTTGTTTATGATACAGACCAGTTCTTTGTGTTCCTTTTTTCCTGATAGCAGTGATTCAGTCCCATGTACAGATCTATAACTTTTGCAGTAATGTAATGACTTGGACTCAGCAAATACTATAAACTTTGTTATGCAATTGGTAGCCTGATGCCTGGTTATATTACTTTTCGCATTTCATTCATTACTTGTGAGCATCTCTGGTATATAACACTTAAATTGTTTATCAACCCATAAGTCTTCTACTACTTAGTTTTTAAAATTTACATAATTCCTCTATTTCTTCTCATAGAGCTTCTTGATAAAATTTGATGATGAATACTTAAAATATTCAGGAATACTTTTTTACATTCTTCAGACTCCTCCTTTGACAGTGTCATAAACATAACACTGACCATAGTTTTCCTCATAGGGTAACATCCTTTAATATCCTTCCATACTGTTATAGAAGCATACACTGCATCTTTAAGATCAAAAGAAACCTGAAATTTCCACACACTTCAGTCAGAGTTCATTAATTTGTGTGTGAAGATACCCAGTAATCCACTCTTGAACTCTTGATGACATGTTGATTCATTGACTGGATTAAAGAAGTCCTTTTTGCAGGCAGGTAGGTGAAAAAACTGTTCCACAAATAAGATCCAAAGTTGGAGGAGCTCCCTGCAATTACCCAAGAAATGGAACTTTTAGCTGGCCTTAGGCATTTATGGTTTTCATTTATGTCCAGCATTACATGAGTAAAGACCTCTCAAGATTTCCACCGTCATCCAGATCCCATCATCCAGATACTTCTATGCATCCCTGAAGTCCAGCAGAATGTGATAGCACCTCCCAGCTTTGGATCCTTGCTGTGCACAAGTACTGCAGGAGGCACTAGCACAAATGAGAACAATGAACCTGTGTTTGCTCTTTAAACTTAAAAGAAACCACAAGGACTCTGTTTTCATGAGTCAGGTTATTACTGAGAAAATAATGTCAAAACACATTCATTTTTGTTATAAAATTGATAGGATAGCCAGGCTCGGTGGCTCAACCTGTAATCCCGTGCCTTTGGGAGGCTGAGATGAGTGGATTGCCTGAGCCCGCGGGTTCGAGACCCGCCTGGTCGACTTGGCAAGACCTCATCTCTACAATAAATCAAAAACTAGCCAGGCGTGGTAGCGCACGCCTGTAATTCCGGCTACTTGGAAGGCTGAGGTGCAAGGATTGCTGGAGCCCGGCAGGTCGAGGCTGCGGTGGCCGGGAGCGGCCACTGCACTCCAGTCTGGGTGACAGAGTGAGACTCCAACTCAAAAAAAAAAAAAAAAATGGATAGGATGTCAGGTTATGCTTCTGAACTAAAAAATGGAAAACTTCATGAAGTTATTGCAGCCTCAGTGTCAGCAACTCTGCTTCATGACAGACAGTGTTCACAAATGCTGTGATGTAATCTAAAGTTGTGGTGAAACTTCACATCACAAATTGTACATTTTTGGGGACATTTCTTTTGTAATTTTATCCTTTTTATTAACTTAGATCTTGGCATTGGATTTTCTTTTAAGTGCTTATTTGGGCTGGGTACAGTGGCTCACACCTGTAATCCCAGCACTTTGAGAGGACAAGGTGGAAGGATCTCTTGATGCCCAGCATTCAAGACCAGGTTGGGCAATATATAGCAAAACCCTATCTTTACAAAACATAAAAATAATTAACCAGGCCTGGACATGGTGGCATGACCCTTTTGTCCCAGCCATTAGGTTGATGCAAACATTCGTAGCATTTGTTTTGGGCATGGCAACACTTGTGTTGGGAGTTTGTTTATTATTTGTCATTTAGAGTGACAATGTTGTGCTTGTGAATACACCTTGTATTTTGCAGATTTGAAGAAAATTAGTACTATTCGTGGTCTAAAGAAGATGGAGTATCAAGTGGAAAAAAACAAAAACTTTTGACATATTCTTTTCTTTGAGTTTAATGGACAAGTAGAGGCAGGGAGGCAGCTCGAAACATTTGTGCTGTGTTTGGGGAGAATGCCATCAGGGAAAACACAGCAAGAAAATGGTTTGGTTGTTTCACAGAGGGCCACTTTGCCCTGCGATCCTCCACATTCCTCAGGAAGATCATCGGGCTTTAATGAAGACCATTTAAACGCTTTAAACCATGATGATCCACATTAACCAACTCGAGAATTGGCAAATGTGATGAACTGTGACCAACTATCGTGCGACATGTGGATTCCATGGGCAAGTGAAGAACACTACGAACGCATGCATGAACCCAATTCTTTGAATACTGAAGCAGGAGGAGCACTTAAGCCCAGGAAGTTAAGACTGCAGTGAGCTATGATCACACCACGTGCTCCAACCTGGGTGACAGCGAGACCCTGTCCCAAAAAAATAATGCTTATTTGAAAAACATGGTTACACACTTCATGTAGGAACTTTTAGTTTGTTGCTTTTCATTTCTTTTAGGACTGTCAGTGTAGCTATAAACGATTGTGATCGATCCTCCTGTCTCTTGATTATTGGAGTTTCCAACCAACCACATGAATCCCTTAGTGACATGGCCATATTGGCTCTGCCACTGGCCCACAAGGTCACGGTCTCCCAGTTAGGAACACTTTGTTGACTCGCCTCACTTGAACTTATTAATGATCACAGTTCTCTTTGTACTGTTTTCCTTCTTTATGACTTCTAATTTCTGCAGTATCATCAAAATGAGAGGCTTTCTTTTCATATATTGACCACTTTTATTATCTATTCTGTTGCTTGAGTCCTGTCTAAATATCAAGGGGACAATTAAGTGGAAACTGTCTTAAATAACCTCAACAGTCTAGGATTAAAATTCTAAACTGTGTCACTGAGGATAACCAAGGTCAGGAGCATGTAGTATCAGAGTCTGTATTGTAAAACCTTAGGTAGCTATCCAGGAGCCAAATCTCCCTAAGATGACCTACTTTGTTATTCTGTTGCTGTAGCTCCTCACAGTGATCCACTTACAGAGCAGGTCACCAGTGTCAGGTCTTTGGGATTTTTTGGAAAGCATTAGAATTTCTTGACTTTAAAGCCAGATTGCGTATCTGTTACACAATTCCATAATGAGTCTTGCCGAAGAAAATATAGAGCATATAAAAGACCTAGTCCCAGTTGTTGAGAAATGTACAGGATCTGAACAAGAGAAACCTATTAAATTGCAACCAATACAAGCTCCTTATAGGTATTCTTACTTCATGTTCAGAAAAATTTGAGATAGGTCTTCAAATTTGGCTGGAGAAACAATCTCATAAACAGCACATTGTTAGCCTGGGTTATTAAAGTCTGCAACTCAAAACACTAAAAAAGTATTCAGTTTTAGATGTTCTGACAGAGGTATGCCATCAAACTATTTACATACCTCTTAAAATTTTGAGTGTGTTCTCTATACTTCTTTTTTGGTGGTGATTGTCTTATTGTGTGGCTAGGATCTCCAATTCAATGTTGAATAACAGTAATATTGACAGGCATTGTTTCTGTTCCTGCTTTTAATGAGGTTGCTGTTTTGTTATGTGTTTTTGATAAACACCCTTTATCAAGTTAAGATTTTCTTTTATTCTATATTTGCTAGAGTTTTTTTTTATATACAGGTGTCAAACTCTATCAAATTTTTTTGCACTCACTAAGCTAATCACATAGGCTCTTTTCCCCTTTAATTTAGTTAGATGGTGAGTTACTTAGATTTTATAATATTGAATCACTTTCTGTGTTATGCTCTGGAACACTATAGATTGGGAATTGCCTGAAAATTCCCTGCAGGTTTTGCATTCTGGAGCGATCATACATTCAAGTCTCCCACACACTTTTTAATTGTTGTGTTACCCCAGAGAAGGCACTGACATGGGAGTGGACTCCAGGATATGGGCTTAACATTAGCGTTTTGATTCTTAATCAGCTTTGTTAAAATGAGAATCACTGGATAGTTCTGATGCCACTTGCAGGATTCAGAATTCCTAACATGGTATGTAAAGGCCTCTCATAATCTGGAGCCGCATTGTCCAGGGATAGAAGTAGGACAGCCACTAACTGCATGTGGCTTGAAACATGGCTAGTGCAACTGAAGGACTGAATTTTAAGTTTTATTTAATGTTTATTTCATTTAAACTTAAATGAGCATGTGTGGCTAGCAGTTACTCTTTTCAGCAGCACAGATCTAGAGGCTAAGCCCATCTAACTTTGCAGGCTCACTTCCACCTGTAGCTGTAGTTGTATTTAACTACTTGATGTTAGTCAGCTGAGCCATGTTTTCTGTGTACTTTGCCCAGCATGCCTACCTCCTCTTCTTGCCAGCCCCCTTGTCACTTTTGTCTCCTTCCTTAGGACTCTGTTCAGATGTGGTCAAGCTGTGAAGCCCTTGCCCCAGCCTTTCTCCCCAGTGCAAGCCAGGGGTCTCATTTTCTATATTCTCATTGCACTCAAACATCTGGCACCCTGTGATGATTATAATTGCTCCCTACAGTCTTGTTGGACCTTCAAGATAGAGATCATCATCGTGTTGCTCTTCAGCCCCAGCACAAGACAGAAAATGTCTGTCTTACACCAGGAGTTAATCAATAATCATGAATAAATAGGCATGGCATGTTCATGGAACAACGAAGGGGTTTGTGTGGCTGTAGGCGCCCGTGGGGACTGAGACTAATGGGAGATAAAGGTCAGGTGAGGGACCTCTAAGGCCACGAGGAGCCATTTAGGTTTGCTTGCCTCAGTTGGAAAGTGAGTATAATTGAAGTTTGGGGCAAGGAACTGGCATCGCGAAAGCACCTTTTGAGGGACGCGTGTCTTGTGGTAAGCTGCTGGCTGGTTCGCGGGCAGCAGAGCCCCGTCGGGGATGTAGGCTGGACACTTGCCACACTTGCAGTCTGCAGCCATGAGGCACTGGGCCAGGATGGCTTAGGCCATCTGCCACTCCAGATTGCCTAGGTAGGCATGAGTCACAAATCTGGGTTGACTACTGGGCAGCTTCTCTTTTGTAGTCACTTTGCAAGCACTCCCGAGGCTATGGGCATGCTCCCAGAGGACAGCAATACTCCCTTTCAGAGAAATTACTTGATTTAGGCTAAGGAAATTCCAGGCCCGCCCTGCTGAGATCTCCATGTGGGACCAGCACTCTAGCAAGCACAAGGAACCTTGGGCTTTTTAACATATTTTTTATTTTAAAATTGTGGGGTACAGTTAAGGGTTAGGTATACAAAGATGCATTGTGCAGGTACCCTTGTTGATGAGGTGTGCCTTGGGAGCTTTTCAAAGGAAAATCGAGTAGATAATAGAAAACTAGGACTTTTGTAATGAACAGATAGTTGAGAAGTTGGTATTAGAAAAATTAAAGATTTGGGGAGCTTGAGAACAGATGATTGTTGGGTGCAAAATGTATGGAGAAAATGAGCAAATGATTGGATTTATGCTACAGTTTGGGACAGGGAGATGAAGGAGGGCCAGGAATAGTTTCTGTTGGAACAATGGGAGTGGAAGAGAATGGCAAATTAAGGAGAAAATAAATGGAGAGGAAATATGGGGAGCAGGCATTCTTCCTCATTTGGGAAGGTGATAAGTAAAAAGAAGGAAGAAACATGTATACATAGAACTAGATTGGTCTGGCATGATCAAATGAAAATCTTTCCTAAATCATGTTGACCTGCTTATGTTTGAAGACAGAGGAAATAGAGCCAGTAGAAAGAAGGAAAAAAATTGAGGTGTTTAAAAGGAGTTGGGAAAGAGCTGGATAAGGAAAAACGAAATGGATTATTTTTAGATGGAAAGGGCAAGACGGTTCTTGAGAGACTTGAAAGAGGAGTCAAGGAGGAAATTCCATATGAGAGTATGCATGTGACGGATGCACGGAGAGGAGAGTGCTGGGTGGAATGTGACTGTTAAATAAAATTAATCGTCTTGCTTTTTCCTACAGCCAGCACAGTTAATGGAATTCCCTCAGGAGATGGAGGAGAAGGAGGAGGTGGTGGAGCTGGTGGTGGTAGCAGCCAAAAAACTCCACTATTTGAAACTTACTCAGATTGGGACAGAGAAATCAAGAGGACGGGTGCTTCTGGGTGGAGAGTTTGTTCTATCAACGAGGGTTACATGATATCCACTTGGTAAGTCCAGTTTTAGTGGTGTTATCTATATCTGGAAATGACTTCCCTATGACGGCTGGTCAGACACTACTGCCCTTGATAACTTTCCAGTTATGGTTACTGGAATATTAGTTTTTAATAATCTTTTGATTAATCTTTTGTTTTAAAGATCAGAGCCTTTTAATAGAATCACAGTATCCACAGGAAGATGCTGACAGTAATTCCTTACTGTCGTCAGTCATTTGGTCAGTGTTAGTTTGCATCTTATGTTGTAACTGTGTTTTACAGATGATTTATTCAGATCAGAATCCAAAGTCTTCACATTGAATTTGCTTGATGTCTCTTGGGTTTAGTGTTGTTTTGTTTGCTTGTTTTTTACTTTATTATAGAGATATGGGGTACCAGTCAGGATTAGGTAATGAGTGGTTTACAAGCAGGTGAAGTTTGGTCCTCTATCTTTACCTCACTTCACCTACTTCACCTACTTCACCTGGTTTAGGATCTGGTAGCCTCAGTGAGGGTACATTCCCTCCCTCTTCTCCCTCCCTTGGCAGTGTCCCACTAGAATGCCGATCCCTTTCTTCTAATGTTGTGATAAATGTTCAGGACCTACTTATAAGTGAGAATATGTGGTATTCAGTTATTTGTTTCTGTGATAGATCACTGAGTATGATGCCACAGAGTCCATAATTTTGTCCTTCTTTATGGCTGTGTAATACTCCATTGTGTTTATGTACCACATTTTTTTTTATCCAGTTCACTTTTGATGGGCAACAGGGTCGATTCTATGTTTTTGCTGTTGTTAATAGTGCAGCAGTGAACTTGCATGCACAGGTGTCTTTTTTGTAGAACGATTTGTGTTCCTCTGGGTATATTCCCAGGAGGAGAATTGCTGAATCATATGGAAGATCAATTTCTAATTCTTTTAAAAATCATCACACTGTTTTCCACAGAGGCTGTATTAGTTCACACTCCCACCAACAGTGTAGAAGTGTTCCCTTTTCCCAACATCCTCTCTAGCATCTATTGTTTTTTGAGTTATTGATGATGACCATCCTGACTGGAGTTAGGTGATATCTCAATGTGGTTTTGATTTGCATTTCTCTGATGATTAGTGAAGCTGAGCATTTTTTCAGGTATCTGTTGGCTGTTCGTATGTCTCTTGGGTTTTTTAATCTACAGCAGTCTCCTTCCACCTGTTTTTTACTTAACTATTTATTTGTTGACTAAACCAGATCACTTGTTCTATAGAATTTTCCACATTCTAAATATTGCTGGTTTTATCCTTATGGTGTCCTTTTACATGTTCCCCTGTCTCCCATATTTCCTTTAAAATATTAGTTAGGGGCAACCCTTTGGGTCTTCTCCCACGGTGGGAGCTTTTCTGTCCTCTCAATAAATCCTGCTTTCTCAAAAAAAAAAAAAAAAAAAAGTTAGCTAGACTAGAGGCTTAATTGGATTCAGGTTCAGTGTTTTTGGCAAGAAAGTTCCATTAGGGGGTGTTTGTGCCTCCTGTGGGGTCACATCCCACTCCAGGCTGGCTCACATGGTGTCTCTCTTTCTCTCATTGTGATGCAGGCTGGCCAGTGGCCTTAGAGGGTGTCAACCAGGTCCACCAATACAGAGTTCCCCTTTCATATCATGAGTTTAGCTGTCAAAAGTAGTTTTTCATCAGAAGTAGGATCATTGCCTGGATCTGTTACTTCATTAAGGATTGCAGTTACTTATCTTGTGGTTCTGTCATCCTTCTGCTCTTTATCAAACTGTTCTCGTACCAGCTCTTTAGACCCCTGTAATATAGTTCATATAAGAAAAGCAATATAAACATCTACTTTTTTTCCTTTACTTACCACTTTTCCAAATAGTGAGCTAGTTCCCTAGAATCCTCTAACAGTGACCAGGAATTTTTCTTTTTAATTTGCTTAATGTCATTTAGTACTTATTTTTTGGAATGTCTTATTTTAAGATCATTGAAGCAGAGTGCCGTAGCTCACGCCTGTAATCCCAGCGGAAGCCAAGGTGGGAAGATTGCTTGAGCCCAGGAGTTCAAGAACACCCTGGGCAATGTAGTGAGCCCTTGTTATACCAAAAACAAAGCAAAACAAAACAACATCGAAATCCTCTTTAGTTCTTGCAGATAAGCACCTTTTTAGGATTAAACAAAAGAAAAAACCATGTATTAGTGGTTGATCCTGTACCAGGAAATTCTAGGAGTTCGGTTCTGGAAAGGTACCATGGAGCACGTTTCTTGTGTCTTCTACTTCCCCTGGAGTTTAACCTTCCTGGCTGGCTTGCTCTGGTCTATGTGCTGAGGAGGAGCATGTGACAGGACCTGCCCAGCCACACGGAGGGAAGGAGAGAGAGAAGGAGGATGTCTCCAGGGGCACTGAGCTTGCCCACCAGTACTTGTCTGATCATTGTCCTAGAGACAGAATGTGCCGTTTAGAGATGAGAAGGGTAGAAGAGGGAGTTAAGAAGAAGGGAGCTGGTAGAGAACAAAACTGATTTGTTTTTCAGAAACTTACATGTTTGATTCATATTCATTTTGGAAAATATTTTAGATGTCTTTGGATTTTTCTCATTCTGTAAGTTTAAATTTTGTGAGAATTGACCACATCCCACATTTTAGACTGAGATGTCACCATGCAGTTACCAAGTGGGGTGCACATTAACTGGGGATACGTATGTTTAATTATATGGTGTCTGCAGGAGCACACTGTTCCCATGTTTAGCACAAGACTCTTATGTACTATCTGTTTTTCTCCCTTCCAGCCTTCCAGAATACTTTGTAGTGCCGAGTTCTTTAGCAGACCAAGATCTAAAGATCTTTTCCCATTCTTTTGTTGGAAGAAGGATGCCAGTAAGTGATTTCTGTTGGATGTCATGCATGCTGATATCTGTTGTTTCTGCATAGTTAAGTGAGGATTCTGCCTCTCTCCTAGCTTTGGTGCTGGAGCCACTCTAATGGAAATGCTCTTGTGCGAATGGCCCTCATCAAAGATGTGCTACAGCAGAAGAAGATTGACCAGAGGTAATTGAGAAATGGTCATTGTCACTTTAGACAGTGGTACTTGTCATGAATAAGTATAGTAAGTTCCCTGCTAATTGACAAGAGCTAGCAAAAGGCATAGTCTTATTAATTAATTAGCAACATATATTGTATACAAGAATTGCCATTTTGAAAAGAATGTGAATATATTAAATTTAACTAACATTTAAATTATATTGAGTATAATTTAATTATTTGGTTTAAAAGACACTTGAGGATTTTACATTGTTGACATCTTGCAATAATGCTTCCTTTAACATAACTTTCTAAGTGCAGTGATATCCAGTTGAAATACTTCAGGAGAAATCAAACTTTCCTGATAGTTCAATATGTCTAATTTAGGACTACAAATTCATAATAGCTAGAACAGTGGTTTTAATTGGCCGTTACAGGTAACTTTGGCACCATCTGCAACAGTCATCAGTAACCTCTATGGCATTCAAGTAGGAGGCCTTTTCAGTCATGCTCACAGCAGCATGCAACACTGTTGGTCACTCTCTCCTTGAAGTCTTCCAGGCCCTTGGCCCCTGCTTCTCTGCACTCTCCCTTTGGAGCTCCCCTTCATCGCTGGCACTGTGTGCCTTCTGCAAACCCACCTTCATCTCTCCTGACATCACAGAGAGTCTCTTGAAGGCCATTTCCTCTTTATGTTTTGTATTCCTTTCCTAAAGACAATTCCCGTAGGCTGGGTGTGGTAATTCACACCGGTAATTCCAGCACTTTGGGAGGCTGAGGTGGGAGAATCACTTGAGCCCAGGAGCCTAAGACCAGCCTGGGCAACATAGCAAGACCATGTCTTTATAAAGAAAACCCCAAAAAGTTAGCCAGGCATGGTGGCATGCACCTCCCAAGTGGCATCCCAGCTACTCGGGAGGCTGAGGGGGAAGAAACACCTGAGCCCAGGTGGTCAAGACTGCAGTAAGTCATGATCATCCCACTGCATTCCAGCCTGGGTGACAGAATGAGATCCCTATGAAAGAAAAATAAAGTTGCTCCAAGGCTGTGGCTTTAGTAACACATTTATATTTCCCATCTAATTTGGTGTCCTCCACATGGTGATCTCAAAAACCCTTTAAACGCATTATGTCCAAAAACAAACTCAAGGATGTGGCCACTATGCCTCTCCAGCCTGTGCTCAAAAAACGAGGTCATCCTTGATGCCTTCCTCTTTGCTTCCTTCTCCATCTCCAGGCCCTCCTCATGTTTTGTCACTTCATTTTTCAAGAAGCCTTCCACCCCCATGAGCTTCACTCCAGCTCTACCCCTGCCAAGATAAATGTTATTTCCTCCTTCCACGTCCCCTCTCCTGGCTGGTCTCCTGGCCTCCAGCCTCTTGGACCTTCCTGATGTTTTCCATCTCCTGACATCTTCCCATGCTCTTTCCTTCTCCTGGGCTGCCTCCTTAGGCACATTCAAGAACACCCTCCACTCCTGCTTACTTGACAATCACTCATTCTTTATATCTCAACCCAAACATTACTTCCCCAAGATAAGCCTTTCCTCACCTCCAAAACTAGATCACAGGTATAGGTTCTCAAGAGCTCTCAAATGTTTTGTTATGGCATGTATTTCAGTTTTTATATATATGTATTAGAGTTTGCTTACTGCCTTTTTTACTAGACTGCAAACTCCATGAGGTGAAGGACTATGTCTGTTTTGTACACCTGTGTATACTTAACACCACGGAAGCACCCATGATTTTTATTCAGTACTTGCTGAATAAACCAGGAACAAATGATCAGATCTTAGAAAACAGGCTCGGAGAGTCCCAGAAATTGTATGTCAGACCATTGTTGGTACAGCCAGATCTTAGGTTTTTTGCCCTTAGCAACAGAACTAATGAAGCCACATTTGTTGAAGCAAAGAATAGTCAAGTGACCCTCAAATGACCATACAGTTTTCTGGAAAAAAGGGTGATTGTAGTTCACCTGAGTCCATATTTTCTGTGGATTTTAACTTCACCTTAATTACATTAGAGAGTAACTCTCTGCTGTGTCATACTCTAAGCCTTGTTGTCACTAACACGCATGCTAATGAAGTGCTTCATGAGGGATTTTGCTGCCAAAGGGAAGATTGTGGCACTGTTGGATGAGTCAGTTATAAAACCTTATAACCAGTGACAGATTCAGTTATTTAATTTATTAAGCTAAGCATTATTTTTTGTTTTTGTCAGAAAAGCTTTTGTGTTTTCAGCTGTCCTTCATAAGTAGGACAGATTCTGTTTATCATACCTCATCGCCTCACCTTTTCCCCTCAGGCGTGTCATCTGGCCTCCCCTAGGTTTCCCCAACAGCCAAACTTGTTTTCTACCACATGGCCTTTGCATAACTGTCCTTCTGCCTAGAAGACTGTCCTTCCAGATGTCTACATTGCTTCTGGTCACTTGGGTTTCAGCTTCAGTATCATCACAGAGCAGCCTTTTTTGACCATGTGACCCTAAGGTAGCCTGAAGTCACTTGATTGTATTATCCATGGCCTTCACCACAGCTGTTATTTTCTTGTTCATTACCCTGTACTGGGTGTGGCAGCTCACACCTGTGATACTAGCACTTTGAGAAGCTGAGGCGGGAGGATCGCTTGAACCAGGAATTTAAGACCAGCCTAGGCAACACAGCACGGCCTTGTCTTTACCAAAGAAAAGATTAGTCGGGTATGGTAGCGCATGCCTGTAGTCCAGCTACTTGGGGGGGCTTGAGATAGAAGGATCACCTGAGCCCAGAAGGTTGAGGTTGCAGTGAGCTGTGATCATGCCACTGCACTCCAGCCTGGGCAACAGTGAGACCCCGACTCAAAAAAATATATATTTATACCACCACCACCAAAATGTCAACTCCATGGAGACAGAGACCTTGCCTGTCTTGCTCATCCCTCTTCCCCCACTGTTAGAACAGTACCTTGACTTATAGTAGGTGTTGAAGAAATACATGTTGAAGAAATAAATGAATAGTGACTAAAGGCTTTTGTCTTTATTAGGATTTGTAATGCAGTAACTAAAAGTCATCCACAGAGAAGTGACGTTTACAAATCGGATTTGGATAAGACCTTGCCAAATATTCAGGAAGTACAAGCAGCGTTTGTAAAACTTAAGCAACTGTGTGTTAATGGTAATTTCATTTTTATTTTACATCTGTAATGAATGGAGGATACAGAATTGTATGAGACATGTCAGGAAAAGTGATGCTCCTTAAAAAAACGGATATGCATGAGGAGCCTCATTGCAAATTATGTTTTATTATATGAGAATTTCGGAACCTCCTAAGGAAATGAAGTTAAAACTGCCTCTTGTTTTGGAGGGGGGAAATGAACCTATTAAATTTCCTTCAAATCACAAAAGGTATAGTAGAACGCCTTTATAAAAGCATCTGCTATGTAGAGCACTGGATGACCTTACAAACTTAGTAAGATTTTAATACACACAGTTCTATTCTGAGACAGGTGACTTCACTCTGTTGTTAAACAGAAACGTGTTTTACCTGTTTGAGCAAACTCTTACCGGGTGGCTTCAATATGGCATCTTTGGGCTAAAGTGGGTCCTTCAAGAGAGGGACCTCCTGGGAGTCAGGAGAGGCAACCTGGCAACAGGTCTTGGATCGACAGGGGGCGGTGGAGGCTTGACCAGAGAAGATCCTGGCAGAGGGGGCACAGTCAGGGTGTTGAGTGATCATCCATACTCAGGCAGGACAGTGAAGGTGGCTCTGATTCTTGCAGTGTCAGCTACCAGGCCATATAAGCTGTGTGCAGAGGCAGCACTGACAACGGGAGAGGAAGAGAAGCCAGGAAGGCAAGACTTGCTGTATGGAGGCCAAGGGTTGGGGCCTGGACAGCTGTTCACAAAGGTCGGGTGGGCCAGAATCAAGAAGGGGAGAGCGAGAGACCTGTCAGAGTTGGTCTGACTCTGAAATTTCCTTGAAAGAGCCAGAGAGAAGATGGATGCCCAGGGCAGTGCTTTGATGTGTTACAGAATTATAGCATGTCTTTTTAGTTGTTTACTCTGTTTTTAAAGTGAAAATTCTTGACACTTATTTAAAGGCAACTTGTAAGTATTAGAAATTGTGATATATCTCTTAACTCTGGTATTGATCATAGAAAATTAAATTTAAAAAACCAAAAAAAAAAGGATGTGTGTATAATTACCATATTTATTACAGAGCCTTTTGAAGAAACTGAAGAGAAATGGTTATCTTCACTGGAAAATACTCGGTGGTTGGAATACGTAAGGTTTGTACAACTTGTTTCCTTTTTTTCTTTAACTTTTTATTTTGAAATAATTACAGACTCACAGGAGGTGCAAAAATAGAGCCATATAGTCTTCACCCAGCTTCTCCCGGTGGTAACATCTCACATAACTAGAGTACTGCATCAAAACCAGGAGACTGACATCAGTACTGTTGATAGACCTTACTCAGATTTCATCAGTTTATGCATGCTCGCATGTGTACACGTGCATGTGCTCATAGAGCTGTGCGGTGTTATGGGCATAGAGTCATGTAACCACCGCCACAGTCAAGGTATGGAACTGTTTATCACCACAAGGCTCCCTCCTGCTGCCCCTTTTCTAGCCGCACCCCCAACCCCATCCCTGTCCACCAGTAACCACTCATCTCTTCTCTGTCTCCCTATAGTTTTGTCATTTCACAAATGGTATATAGGTCAACCTCTTCCTTCTTATAAAGTGTGAATGAATTTCCCTGATATAAAAATTACAAAACATATTCATTGAAGAATCTTATAAATACCAAAGAAATTCGTAGAGATTGAGAATACAGATGTGCATAGATGGTCCCCTACTTAGGATGGTTCCACTTAGGATTTTTCAACTTTACAGTAGTGTAAAAGTAGAAAGCGGAACTCGGCAGAAAGTGGAACTGTCCTCTCTTGATGCTGAGCAGTGACAGGAGCCGCAGTTGCCAGTCATCTGTGAACTTTTGACTGACAGTATGTTCAGCTTACAAGGGTTTATCAGGATGTAACTCCATCATAAATCAAGAGCATCTGTATACTGAAAGATTCAATTTGCTTGATTTCAAGTACTTAAAATATGTTGGTAATAGAAATCTTATTTTTAACACTGTTTTTCTTCTTTCTTTTCAGGGCATTCCTTAAACATTCAGCAGAACTTGTGTACATGCTAGAAAGCAAACATCTCTCTATAGTCCTTCAAGGTAATTAAAATAATTCTGAAAACATCATGACCACCATGCCAGCCAACCCTGGTAACTGCTCATCCACATTTAAGTAAATTACACCAATCCTAGCTATCTCATTTACTACAGTACCATCAAGTACACTACAGATCTCGCACATCATTTGAGTCAAGCAGTGGTGCAAAGATTGCAGACAGAAGAATAGAAAGGAGTCCATTTTTTACCCTGTATTAAATCCTTCTTCCTATTTTATGGGAAGGGTGGTCATGTTCCTTATTGGATTAATACTTAGCATTCATCTTGGCAGGGCATCCTTTCTCTAATCTTGCTGACTTTCTAATTCATACAGATTTGTTTTAGTGTAATCATCTGACACATACTAGATTGTGTTACCCTAAGGAAACAGTTAGATAACATTAAATTGAACTGAATAGCCAATAATATGAATTTTGTCTCATATTTGGTAGGGATAAACTGCAATACAAAAATCTTTCAGTTAAGCATATACTAAATATATATTAAATAACTTTACAGGTAATAGAATTGCTGATTTTACAGATAAAGTTTAATAGACCCCAAACTACCTTTTTTTAAGGGCCCTCTGTATCCATGGGTTCTATAATTGTGGATTCAGCCGAGGAGCTAAAGTATTCAGGAAAAAAAACCTTTTGTCTGTGTTAAATATGTAGAGACTTTTTTACTTGTCATTATTCTCTAAACAACTTGGTATAACTATTTATATAGCATTTACATTGTATTAGGTGTTATAAGTAATCTAGAGATGATTTAAAGTATACAGGAGGATGTGTGTAGGTTATCTACAAATACTACACCACTTTATATCAGAGACTTGAGCATCCGTGGATTTTGGTTTCTGAGGAAGGTCCTGGAGCCATTCCCCATGGATACCACGGGACAACTTATTTAGGTATATGAATACAGGATACTACTTAAGCTTGCACAAGTGTTTTTAACAGCTGTCAAACTTCACGAACTTTAATGAGGCAAAAATATTTAGAACCCTTAGGGAAAAGAATAGTAACGTACCATATGAGTACGTAAAGTAACACTTAACTGATGCAATCAGAGCAGGTTTAATTCACAAACGCACACAAAAGTCTAATCATCACATAATTAATTTCCTTCTCAACCAGTGGTGTTCTCATTTGATTGGAAAGCCCTACTTATCTTGAATTTCTCCACACGTAAAAGGCAACAAAAGTAGTGCTGAGCCTGCATTTTACTAACATTTTTTTTAAGAGTATATTTTTAAAATCATTTACTTAGCTATAATTTACATACTATAAAATTCACCCATTTTGAATACACAATTCAATAATTTTTAATAAATATACAGAGTCCAGCTTTAGAAATTCCCAGCTCCAGACAATCACTCATCTACTTTCTGTCTCTAGATTTTCCTTTTCTGGATATATCATATAAATGGAATCATTCTCTATGTGGTTTTTTGCCTCTGGTGTCTTTCATTTCATATACATGTTTTTGTATCAGCAGTTCCTTTTTATTTCTAAATTGTATCTCATTGTTTCTAAATACATTTTATTTATCCATTTACCTGTAAGTGAACATTTGAATTGTTTCCACTTTTTTGGCTGTTGTGAACTGTGCTGCGGTGAATATTGACATACAAGTCTTTTGGGGACATGTATTTTTATTTCTCTTGGGTAGATTCATAGAAGTGGAGTTGCTGACTTGTATGGTACATCTACTTTAAACTTTCTAAGAAACTACCAAACTATTTTCTACCACGGCTATACCACATTTTCCTTCCTTTAGCAGTGTACAGGGATTCCAGTTTCTCCACATTCTCATCAGCACTACTGTCCTTAGAATCCTTCTAGTAGGTGCAAACTGGAAACTCACTGTAGTTTTCATTTGAATTTCTCTAAAGTGTTTCATCATATTATCTTTATATATTATCTTTATATAAATTATCTTTATATATTACATAAATTATCAGTATATATTCTAGGTACAGGTTCTTTATGTCCTTATATGGTTTGCCAGTATTTTCTCTTAGTGTGTGGCTTTCTTTTCATTTTCCTTTAATTTTCTTTTTCTTTCTTTTTTTGAGTTGGAGTCTCACTCTGTCACCCAGACTGGAGTGCAGTGGCCACTCCCGGCCACCGCAGCCTCGACCTGCTGGGCTCCGGCGATCCTTCCGCCTCAGCCTTCTAAGTAGCCAGAACTACAGGCGCATGCTACCACACCTGACTAATTTTTTTTTTATATTGATTGTAGAGATGAGGTCTTGCCAAGTTGCCCAGGCGGGTCTCGAGCCGGTGGGCTCAGGCAATCTACTCACCCCCAGCCTGGCTTCTTTTTCTTTTTTGGGTTAGGCTCTCAGTCTTTTACCTAAGCTGGAGTGCAGTGGCAGGATCACAGTTCACTGCAGGCTCAAACTCCTGGGCTCAAACGATCCTTCCACTTCAGCCTCCCTAGTATTTGGGACTACAGGTGTGCACCATCACACCTGCCTAATTTTTAAATTTTTGTTGTAGAAACAAGATCTCACTGTGTTGTCCAGGCTGATCTCAAACTCCTGGGTACAAGCAATCCTCCTGCCTTAGTCTCCTCCCAAAGTGCTGGGATTACAGACGTGAGCCACCACACTCATGTGCTTTTCATTTTCTTGATGCCTTTTTAAGTATTTTGATAAAGTCCACTTTAATCCTTTTTCCTCTTATTTGTTTTTGGTGTTATATTCAAACTGCCTAATTTGAGGTCATGAAGATTGTCTCCTATGTTTTGTTATATAGAATTTTTATAGTTTTAACTCTTACATTTAGATCTGTGATCCATATTAAATGGATTGTTGTTTCTGTTAGATCTGTTGAAATTCATTGTGTTTGTATGTGGATTTTGAATTGTCCCAGCACAATTTTTTGAAAAGGCTATCCTCTATTTAATTGTCTTGGCATTTTTGTCACAAAATCACTTGACAATAAATGATAAGGGTTTAGTTTTGAACTCTCAGTTTTAGTCCCTTGATGTTTATGTCTATTCATATGCTAGTACCACACTATGTTGGACACTATAGCTATGTAGTAAGTTTTGAAATTAAGACATGCAACTTTGTTTTTGAGATGCTTTGACTATTCTGGGTCCTTTCCATTTCTGTTTAACTTTTAGGATCAGCAAAAAAAAGTCTACCAGGACTTTGATAGGAAGGTGTTGCGCCATAGATCAGTTTGGTGAGAATGTCATCTTTACTGAATCTGCCAATCCATGAAATGAATATCTCCATTTATTTAGATTTGCCATTTTATCAGCAATGTTTTATAGTTTTTATTGTGCATGTCTTGTATTTATTTTGTCAGATCTTTTAAGTATTTTATTTTTTATGTTACTGTGAATATGGTTGTTTTCTTAATCTCATTTTTAGGCTTATTGCATACTTATATCATGTTTGTGTTTAATTTCTGTGACCTTACTGAACTCATTTATTAGTTCTAGTAGTTATTTTGTGAATTCCATAGATCTTTTACATACAGGATCACACTGTCTGCAAAAAATTTTTACCTTTTTCTTTTCTGTCTGGATGCCTTTTGTTTCTTTTTCTTGCCTACTTGCTTTGGCAGGAACCTCTAGTAGTGTGATGTAGGGTCAAGAGAAGGTGTCTTTTCTTGTTCCTGATCTTGGGAGGGGTATCCAATCTTTTACCAGTGAGAATATCATTAGTTGTAGGTTTTTTGTAGATGCTTCTAATCAGTTTAAAGAAGTTTCCTCTATTCCTGTTTTGCTGAGAGTTTTTATGAGGGATGAATGTAGAATTGTGTGATATGCTTTTACTGCATCATGTTGATTTTGTCCCCTTTTTTTGAGTCTCACTCTGTTGCCCAGGCTGGAGTGCAGTGGTACACTCACAGCCACCCCAGGGTCTACCTGCTGGGCTCCGGCAATCCTTCCGCCTCAGCCTTCTAAGTAGCTGGAACTACAGGTGTGCACTACCATGCCTGGCTAATTTTTTTTTTAAAGATTTATTGTAAAGATGAGGTCTCGCCATGTTGCTCAAGCTGGTCTCAAACCCCTGGGCTCAGGCAATCTTCTTGCCTCTGCCTCCTCATGTGCTGGGATTACAGGCGTGTGCTTCCATGCCTGGCTAATTTTTTTTCAGATTTGTTGTAGAGATGAGGCCTCGCCATGTTGCTCAGGCTGGTCTCAAATCCCTGAGCTCAGGCAATCCTCTCGCCTCTGCCTCACAAAATGCTGGGATTATAGGCATGAGCCACTGCACCTAGCTTGTACTTTTTTTACATGGTATGGTACTTTGATTTTCAGATGTTAAATCAATCTTGCATTCCTGGGATAAATTCTTGCATTTTGGGGCAATTTGGTTTGCTCATATTTTTATTAAGGCGTTTTACATCTATAATCATAAGGGATATTGGTCAGTAGTTTTATTCTGATTTCTTTGACTGACTGACATCATGGTAATTCTAGCCTCACTGGAAAGAACAACTATCAAAGCAGGACGGAATTGTTTGCCACCTTTTCAGGTGGTAGTAGGCAGTCCCATCCTCTTATTCACCTCTGAGTCTCTGCCATGTGGAGTTGTCAGTAGAAAAATTACATTATACTGAATAACCTGACAAAACAGCAGAATGGATTCTAGATGTTCTACCATAAACCATTGAAATGTAAAAAGTGTGAGGGGTGAACTCCTGTTAACTGGCAAATATTTATACATAAAAGACCATTTTGTATTAAACAGTGGTTTAGTTTATTTAAAAGTCTGTAATATTTTAGAGTTGTTAGAATCCAGTAAGATTTTCTTATACAGATCATGTGGAAGTCAGCCTCGGTGCAGAGTACTGAATCTAGTTTGCCTCTCCTTCCCTCTCTCTCAGCATTGTTCTATGTAGTAATCATTTTCTTTCTATCTTTTTGACAGAGGAAGAGGGGAGAGATTTGAGCTGTTTTGTAGCTTCTCTTGTTCAAGTGATGCTGGACCCCTATTTTAGGACAATTACTGGATTTCAGAGTCTGATACAGAAGGAGTGGGTCATGGCAGGATACCCGTTCCTAGACAGATGCAACCATTTAAAAAGATCGGAAAAAGAGGTAAGTCTTTGTACCCTATTATCAGCCTTTAAGAATGCCCAAGATAAAATGTGTGGTATGTAAAGAGAGGGCTTTTAGTAAAACTTAGCTTCCTTAGTCCAAGGCTCACTAGTAGATTGGAGTTCACATTTACATACTTATTATAATTATTTTAACTATATAAGTGAAATTTTTAAGTCATCTGTGGACTTTGTCTAAGTTGAAAAGTACCTGAAGAAAGTCTGCATTAATGACTGCAAAGCAGTAACAAGCAATAAATGTGGAAGTACATGTGAAAAGCAGAGGGAGAACATTAAGTAATCCCTCGTCTGCTTGCGTTTGCCAGTCTCCCTTATTTCTGCTCTTCTTGGATGCCACGTGGCAGCTGTTGGAACAGTATCCAGCAGCTTTTGAGTTTTCCGAAACCTACCTGGCAGTACTACACGACAGCACTCGGGTCTCACTGTTCGGCACCTTTCTGTTCAACTCTCCTCATCAGCGAGTGAAGCAGAGCACAGTAAGTGATGCTGCGGCTGTTGCTGCAACTTTATTGAGATATAACTGAAGTATAATTAACTACATAGTTCAAATATATAATTTAAAACTATCTTACAACCATTTTCAAGTGACATTTCTGAACAAATTGTTTAAAAGACAAAAGTCTAGGAAATTATTTTATTTTTATAACTGAACTTTTTTTTTTTTTTTTTTGAGTTGGAGTCTCACTCCAATTGCTTTGGCCTCCTTAAATGTCGCCCAGACTGGAATGCAGTGGCCGCTTCCGGCCACCGCAGCCTCAACCTGCTGGGCTCCGGTGATCCTTTTGCCTCAGCCTTCCAAGTAGCCGGAATTACAGGCATACGCTACCATGCCCAGCTGATTTTTTGATTTATTGTAGAGATGAGGTCTCGCTGCCCAGGCGGGTCTCAAACCCGCGGGCTCAGTATAACTGAACTTTTTTTGTGTTTTTTCATAATAAACCAGTTTAAAGATGTAAATTGCTTTGGCCTCCTTAAATGTCATACTTTTATATTTTCCATTTGGGCTGCTGCGTAGTACAAAAAAACACCTAGCTGAACATAGTGTGAGGCTCATGCCTGTAATCCCAGCACTTGGAAGGCCAAGGCAGGAGGATTGCTTGAGCCCAGGAATTTGAGACCATCCAAAGCAACATAGGAAGACCTCGTCTCTGCAAAAAAAAAATTAGTTAAGAATGGTAGCATGTGCCTGCAGTCCTAGCTACTCAGGAAGCTGAGGCAGGAGTGCCTGAGCCCAGAAGTCCCAGAAATATGAGGCTTCAATGAGCCATGGTCATGCCACTGTACTTTAGCCTGAGTGAAAGTCAGACCTCAACTCAAAAAAAAAAAAAGCAGACCCATTTGAGGACATTTCCTAGGTCAGTAGAATAAAAGTTGTACAAAACAAGATTATTTTTAAGAGGTCTGTGAAGCAGGAAGTTTAAAGATGAAATGTTGACATGGCATTAGACTGAAATTCTCTGCAGTTACCATCTTACCATATGTTCACAAAATCCCATGTGGCATATACAGCAGTCACTTATGGGTGGAACTGTAAGTGTCTGGTTATAAGTCACTGATCTAGAGGAAAAGTCATTTATGACTAAGTATGGTCTTGTGCCAAACTTGAAACTAGCTTCTGTTTGCCATTGGTGGGAACCATCCTGAACCAAGTTGTCTCACCCACATTTAAGCCAACAGGAATAGTCGATCAATACTGCAGAGACCATTGAGAGAAGCAGAAAGGGCAGTCCTAGGCCCCTAGGAAGGCTTTCTAGGAAGAGGATAGCTTCACAGTGAGCTCTGGCAGCCTCAGCCTGAAGGCCCTGGTCTAGGCAGTGTGGTCCATGGGGCAGGAAACCTGACTGGCCCTGGTCTGGGGAAAATGCTAGGCTGGCCTTCCTGCCAGGGTTAAACCTGTGAACCTAGGTTCCTTATCTGTTCCTCATCAGACTGGCAAATTATCCTAAAGAAGTATGAGTCAAACCAGGCAAAGTGAAGATCAATGGGAGATCCAGACTTCACCTGTATGATGACCACTTATGTACCTAATCCAGAACTGCACCCCACATCTTTAAAATTAAAAAAGAAGCATAAATTATTCTGAAATGTAGGTGCAAAACACAAAATGTCTTGGACTTTTATGGAACTGATTTTATTTAGGCTATTGCAGCAGGAAGAACTTCATTAATGAGGAGGCTCTTACAATACCATTTTCTAAAGAAAAGTGGGTTGTTTTCACTATACTTATATTTGGTGCTTTTTTTTTTTTTTTTTTTACTTATTTGAAATTTTTACTTATTTGAAATAGAAAATTTTGTAAAATTTTAAAAAATGCCCTATGTTGCTATGCCAGGTGTGGTGGCTCACGCCTGTAATCCTAGCACTCTGGGAAGCGAAGGCAAGAGGATTGCCTGAGCCCATGGGTTCAAGACCATCCTGGGCAACATGGTGAAACTTCGTTTCTACAATAAATCAAAAAGATAGCTGGGTGTGGTGGTACATGCCTGTCGTGCATGCCTGTGGTGCCAGCTACTTGGAAGGCTGAAGCAGAAGGATTGCCTGAACCCAACAGGTTGAGGCTGTAGTAACCATGAGTATACCACTGCATGACAGCCTGGATGAGACTCCAACTCAAAAAAAAAAGCCCTGTGTTGTCACATATCCATTTTGTGATGCTTCCAGACCACCATTGTGGCAGGGAATAACACCTGGCTGTGGTGTGGGGCTGGCCTCCTGACTGTTATACTTTTTTCCTAATAACATCTTTTGCCTTTTTTTCTAATTTCCAAATAAATTCTTGGTTGTGTTTGTTTTGCTTTTGTAGAGAATACTGAAAGGTATAGAACAAAGAGCCAATCATTTCCCACCATCCAGGGACTCTATTTAGAACTGTTTCCTGTTTGGAGAACTATTCTGTATAAACTGTAGTGGCAGCCTCCTGCTGTCACTCGGCTGAGTATCCTTTCTCCGTGTTGCCAAGTGCGGCTGTGTAGAGGTGGTCTGCCTGCCTTCCAGAGGAGCTCTGTGTCCTCCTCTACAGTGAGGTGGCTGGAGCCTTGTGTTGCCTTCACTTGATGTGGTGAGAGTGGGGGCCTGAGGTGGGCTTCTGTGAAGAGGACACCCAGCCACAGTACTTGGGCTCCTGTTCTCTTAGCCACAGGCTGGCATCATGGGGAAGCTGCTTCCTTCCTTAAGTCTTTACAGGATCACGTTCGTGAAATTCAGTTTCTCTTACTGACTTTCTCCTTGCCCAGAGGGCGTGGCTTCCTCGCAGTCCTAAGGCAGAGAGCACACAGAGGCAGCTCCTGTTCACGTGCAGCATGGAGTGTTTCTCTGAGCTCAAGGCCAGGAGTGTCTCTCCTCTCGTGAGGTGGAAGCACCACTTTAGGGGGTTCTGAGTGCACTGGTTCAGAACATTTACCCTGTGTAGTGATGAATGGGTCATCCAGAAAGCAGGAACTCATGAAAACATCCTTGGTTTTACATCTTTTCACAAATGTTCAAATATTTTATTTTGCAGGAATTTGCTATAAGCAAAAATATCCAATTGGGTGATGAGAAGGGCTTAAAATTCCCCTCTGTTTGGGACTGGTCTCTCCAGTTTACAGCAAAGGATCGCACCCTTTTTCATAACCCCTTCTACATCGGAAAGAGCACACCTTGTGTCCAGAATGGCAATGTGAGGTCTTTTAAACGGACAAAGGTAAATTCCAACTAGCAAAACCTGTTGGCTTACACATAACCAAACACATCCTTCTTTCAGGACACAGAGCATTAAAAGTAAAGTCACTTCCCACAGTCACACTGCTAATGTAGGCTTCTGGGGGCTTGTTCGTTCCTTTTTTTTTTTTGAGTTGGAGTCTCACTCTGTCGCCCAGACTGGAGTGCAGTGGCTGCTCCCAGCCACCGCAGCCTCGACCTGCTGGGCTCCAGCGATCCTTCCGCCTCAGCCTTCCGAGTAGCCAGAATTACAGGCATGCGCTACCACTCCTGGCTGATATTTTGATTTATTGTAGAGATGAGGTCTCGCTGCCCAGGTGGGTCTCGAACCCGCGGGCTCAGGCGATCCACTCACCTCAGCCTCCCAAAGGCGCGGGATTACAGGCTGAGCCACCGAGCCCGGCTGTTCGTTCCCTTTTTAACTGAAATGATTGCATCCTAATTTTTCTTCCTAGTGTCTGAGGCCCACAAAGCCCTGATCAGCACCTGAGAGCTGGCAGGTTGTGGCTCTGAGCCTGGGAGCCCTGTCTCCTGAAATCTATCCAGTCTGCTCATTCTTTTATTTTTAATTAAAACATTCTTCTTGCCAGCATACTATTTAGTAGTGACATTTTTCTTCCTAGAATTAGCCAGGTACAGGGTTTTTTCTAACCCAGAAATCTTAGAAATTTACACATAAGCAAATTAATGGATAGGATGTATGATGTACTCACGTCCCTTCTGCCATTCGGGCTGATCATAAAAGCCTACGTAGAGTTAACACCGAAAATAAATTTAAGTCCAGGGGAGGATTAGAACAACTACTATAAGGGAAGGGATGGAAATGTTCTTTGAGGCTGAAATTCCATCCGTTTTCATGATGCTGAGTTTATATCTGCCATTGCACTTTTGTAGTCTTTCTAAAAAGGGAAGCCCCAGAAAAGTAATGCCGAAATCTCTCTTCTGTCCAGAAAAGCTACAGCTCCACACTAAGAGGAATGCCCTCTTCCTTAAAGAATGGTGTCATCAGTGACCAAGAGCTACTTCCAAGGAGAAATTCGTTAATATTAAAACTAAAGCCAGACCCTCTTCAGCAAACTGACAGCCCGGACAGTGACATGGAGCACTACTTCAGAGAATGGTTTTCCAAGCCAGCCGACCTGCACGGTGTCATCCTGCCACAGCTCTCTGGAACACACATAAAGCTGTGGAAACTGTGCTACTTCCGCTGGGTTCCCGAGGCGCAGATCCACCTGGGCGGCTCCATCACTGCCTTCCACAAGCTCTCCCTCCTGGCCGATGAGGTTGACATGCTCAGCAGGATGCTGCGGCAGCAGTGGAGTGGCCCTCTGGAAGCCTGCTACGTGGAGCTGGACCAGAGCAGGATGTACTTCAGGGCCAGTGGCCCACATGACTCCTCGGGGACGCCGGAGTTCCTCTCCTCCTCATTTCCTTTTTCTCCTGTAGGGAATCTGTGCAGACGAAGCATTTTAGGAACGCCATTAAGCAAATTTTTAAGTGGGGCCAAAATATGGTTATCTACTGAGACATTAGCAAATGAAGACTAACATCTAGTATCTTCTGAACTTTTTAAGGGAAGCTCTAAATTTTTTTCCTCTGAATCAAAACTGCTAACCGAGGCATTTAATGCTCTAGTAACTTTATATGTAAGAATAATAGTTGACATTTGCACTAATATTTAAAAACATGTCGAATCATGCTTCCTTCACTGTTATTTTAAAAGAGAGATGTATTTTTTGCATATGTCCTCTTCTGTCATTATAGGTCTGACTCATTTTTAGATGGTTTGTGGGCAGACATTCCCCCACTCTTATAACTGTGATCAAGCTAACCAGGTTTTGTCTGCATCCGTTTTTCGGATCTACTGAAGGTTATTTGATAGTCAGATTAGCAACCCAAAGAAATAGACAACAGGAAAGTTAAAGTAGTGTTTAGTATATTTTCAGAAACATCTGATAAAATCCCAGCAGGATTTAGTAGGTATTCAGGCATTTTTCTGGTCACGGTATCATTTCTAATTGAACTCTCCTGTTGAAGGTTCGGTGTTCTGAGGCCAGAATTTATTATTTTAGATCACCTTTTTGGGGCCTTCAATCACTGTGTTTTAAAATCATAAGTTTGTTTTTTAACTTCATAGGACTAAGTTTAAAATGATATGCACTGTTAACTTTAAACCTTTTGCTGTAGGTAATATAAGTAAACTTAGAAGTGCCTTTGACATTAATATTAAGGTATGAATATTACAGAGGAAAATATAATTTCACTTTTTAAATTAAGGGTGTTAAAAATCCCATCGCATATTGGAAATAGGTTTTTCATACTAAGCTCCATAGCCAGGAATCCAACAGACAAGAGTCTTAAGTCCTGTTCCTTGGAAAGCCACTGAGGACACAGGGGCCTGTGGGTGCAGACTCCTCTGGCAGGTCGGTACTGGAGACAGGAGAGTGCCATCTACACCAAAATCCACTTTCCTAACAGAGAGCCTGCTGGGAGATGTTCTGGGCTTTACCGTCAGTGTTTCTAGTGTGGCCAACTATTGCTGGCACTTCCCTTTGGAAATAACAAACAAGATCAAGAGTTGGGCACCTGCAACAGATGTTCCTCTTCTCTCCAAGTTCTTAATGCTTAGAAATCGAGAACAAGGGTCAGACATGGACATCTCTCAAAACACTGCCATTTTAATAAACAGCAAGAGGTGGCCTCCCACTCTGGACACCAATGTTAAGAGGAGACTGAGAAGCAGGTGCCAGATTTCCTTGGTCTGAAACCTCGTTTCCAAACTGTGTGACAAGAGCCTGGCCAGCACTAGGTAGGGATCAAAGCTGAGGCTTCTTCGAGCAGTGTCAATTAGCAACCCCCACTCCCATGCACACATCCCATTCTCTGTTTAAAACATGGATGCTTTCAAATTTGACTGCTAAACTCGAGTTTCTTAAATTGCCATCTTAAGATTTTGAAATTTTTTATAGTAAAGTGTTAGCTTATTTCCTTTTCTAAAACAGGTTTTTCAATATAGTGTATTTTACCTTTATAGGTACTGAATAGTTGTTTTTTAAAATTATTTGCCTTTTTAAAATGGTTTGGTAATTTCTCTAGATACAACAGGACACAAGTTCTGATAAAATGTCTTAAGAAATTCATCTTGTGGATAAAACCAATGTTTTTGCCAACTTGTTACCTAGAAAATAAGGGCTATTTTCAGTTTATACAAATAGAATTATCATGAAACATTTCATGACCTTGATTGGAAATTCCCTTACAACACCACAGCACATCCTGCCATTGAAAGTGTTATAATAATTCTCCCTTTTTCATTAAGCTGCTTTTCTATTATAAATTGTTCTAAATTTATTTTTTGGATTATGCATTTTCTGCTCTACAATTTTCTTCCCTCATACATTTATTTCAACTCCTATGTAAACTTTTTTGTTAATTCACAAGTTTAAAAAAGATTAGGTACTATTAATAATGTTTTAAAATAGAAAATGCATATTTTTGTATGATCAAATGAAGTAAAAGACAGTTTTTATTTTTGCTGGACAGTTGTTATATCATGATTATTGTGCCACAGTTTATTGGGCACAATATGAAAAACAACTATAACAGCCTAGATTAGGCCATTGGAAAGTTGCCTGGTACTCTGTGGTAGGACACTGTGGCGATGGCAGTGGTGTGGGCTACAGGGAGTGCACCACAGAACTCAGTGCTCAACTGCAGCCTGCACCGACAGAATGCCTGTGAGTGCTGGGCAGTGCTGGACAACATTTCTAGTAGTGAACATGAAGATGTACAGTGTCTTACTGTTATTTTATGATGATGGAAACCAATTTTAAAACCCAAAATGTCTAACTTTATTTAAGGATGGGGTATTAATTTGTACTAACAAAAGGTGAAAACTGTTCACATCATTCAACAAAGTTTGCTGTCTGTAGCAATAACCTCAAGTAGTTGAAACTTGATTTTGTGCCTAAAACTGCTAAGTTCACATGGAATGAGCAGAAGACAGTGGGATCTTGTCAACAGGAATGAATGTGAAGGCACTTTTGATTGCTAAATAAAATTTTACAGCAACTGTCTGCTGTCGTTGTCAGTATGAAAGCGTCTGCATGATCCCAGTGCTAGACAATGTGAAGGCATCTTCTCCCACCTACACTTCTGTGTCATCCATGCAACTTCTTTGCTTAAATCAGGTCGTGATCAGTAACATTTTTAACACCAATTCAGAATCGGCTACCATTAAGGCCATGTGAGTATTAATGGACCACGCCCCAACAAGTCCTTCTATTCAGTAAAGAGAAAATAGGGAGTAGTAATTCCTTGGGGTCTCAGAATTGGGTGATGAAAGACTGGGATCCTAGTCCCAGACACCAGGCCTAGCGTGTGGCTGAACCCCCGGCGTGAGCCCCATAGGTGGTGATGACTAGCCCTGTTGTGATTATACTGTCAGAATACCCTGGTCTAGTTGAGGGATGCTTCTTGGAAGAGCAAGAAGGGACAGCTGCCTCTGATAAAGACTTTCCAGTCCTTGATGGCCCAGGCCCAGCTGGTTAAGAACAAGCATTTATAGATGTCACAAGTTAGAACAACTTGGTAAGAATTTGTTTTGGTTCCTAAAGAAACTGGAATTAAAATTGTTTCTGCCCTTCTTAGATAATCATAAAATAAAGTATAATGGCTAAATGTATAAAGCAGTAAAGAAGAAATCTAGTTCAAGAAACTCGGTTTCCAATATACTTATTAGAAGGCCACTTCATTTATGCTACTTTTGTGAAAGATCTAAAGATGTGAATCATCACTTGTGTTTGTTTTTTCCAGCTTTTTTGCATACCTAATAACAGATGCATCCAACTCCAAAAATGACCACCAAGGTTTTGACTTTGAAAAGTTTACTACCTGCTATGTGGAAAAATGAGTATATTCAGGCAAATACTAAGCTCTGATATACAGACTACTGTATAATGATGAGTCACTAAATTATCAGGTTTATAATGGACAATAACAATCAAAATGAAATAAAATACTGGGGATGCCAGAAAACTGTATACACATTTTAAGAGATGTTCACCATTGTCAGAAGTCTGGATGCTGACGGTAACCATTTTGAACACCTTGTAGTTGCAGAAGTCAGACTTGACTTGTATTCATCTTACTGAGTATTACAATTTTCATACAGTTTTTTCCTTTCTTAAGATGTGTACACATTGTTTTGGCACCTTCTGTATAATAATTCTTTAGGTTTTTGAAAATCTTAAATCAACATAGGACCACATACCCCCAATCGGCAGGTTTTAGCTAAGGCTTTTGCTCTTAGCTCCGACTGTAACCACATGGCAGACTTCAACTTCAGCCCCCAGCTTCTGCAGTTCAGCCAGCCAGAGCATTTGCTTATGTGAAAGACGGTCATTGGGGCCTTTAACTTCCACCATCTGGAAGATACATTTTAAGAAGTTAGTATCTACTGAAACTGAATCGTCATCCAAATAAGTTATGGTAGTTTTCTCCAACCACTATTTAAATGGCTTTTCTACTCACCCACTGCATTTGTATATATATAGCAAATATATGCACAGATGGTCCTTAACTTACTGAGGATTCAACTTAGGAGCTTTCAACTTTATGATGGTGTAAAAATGATACACATTCAGTAGAAACCACACTTGGAACTTGAATTTTGATCTTTTCCTAGTACAATACTTTCAATGTGGGGCAAAGGAGGGAGCTGGAGCTCTGAGTCAGCTGCTTGACCTCGAGGGTCAACCACCGTACTCTACAGTGGACTGTATTGCCAATGACTTTGCCCAACTAGGCTAATGTAAGTGTTGTGATTACATTTAAGATCGGGAAGGCTAAGCTATGATGCTTGCTAGGTAAGGTGTGCTTAATGCATTTTCAACTTAGAATATTTTCAATTTACGATGGGTTTATTAGGACATAACCCCATCGTAAGCCAAGGATTATCTGTATATGGCTAAGAAATTCCTTGAGAAATGTTTCTATTCTGTAGAAGCTAGACAGTTCTTCACAGCTAATTCGTAAATTGATTCTTAGCATAGCAATTGAAAAATTGTTTTAAGGTGTGCACTGGTTTCTTTCTCCCTTGCTTAAAAACCCTCCAATCACTTTGTTACATTTGGAATTAAATCTAAACTTCTTGCCATGACCTACAGAATTGTAGGACCTACAGAATTGTAGGACCCAGCCCCCACCAAGCATTCCAAAGCCGCCCTTTCAGTCCCGGAAGAGACCAGTCTCTTCCCTACCCAAGGGTCCTCACACTTGCTACTTGCTGTTCGGTCTATCTATGACATTTTCCCGTTCTTTTTTCTTGTTTGTTTGGTTTTTTTTTTTTTGGCACGGGGAGGAAGAAGCAAGATTTATTGAGAGCACAGAAAAGCTCCTATAGTGGGAGGGGACCCGAAGGGGTTGCCCTTTCCCTGTTCTTAACATGCCTGACTTCTTACCTTCCAATGCTCAGCTTAAACTCATTTCAGAGAGGTCATATCTCTAAGTAGGATCCTTCCCATTTATTTCTTTCATGGCATTTGTTATAACATTTGTTATTAATACACATCATCTCCATGAAGGGAGGAATTGTGTGTTTTGTTCACTACACATTACTGAACTTGAAGATGTAACAGTAAAAACTAAGTGAAGTGTTAAAAAAAATAAACAATTCAGCAGCCTAATAGATATTTAATTAGAGTCCCCAAGGGAAAGAGGAGAGAGAATATTAGAATGGGCAAAAATTTTCCAAATTTGATGAAAACTATAAACCTAAAGATCCAAGAAACTCAATGAAACTCAAGCATAGAAACTTCACCCTAAGAAATATGATTGTACAATTAGTAATAAACGGAGTATTTTAAAAGCAGCCAAGGCCAGGTGCAGTGGTTCATGCCTGTAATCCCAACACCTTGGGAGGCCGAGCCTGGCAAGTCACTTGAGCCCAGATAGTGGGACCTCAATTCTACAACAACAAGAAAATAAAAGTGAAAAGCAGCCAGAATTTTTTAAAGGCAGAGAAAAAGGCAAATTTTTCACTATAAACCATGTTAGCTAGAGGACAGTAGATTAGTATTTTTAAAGTATTGAAAGAAAAGTCTGTCAACAGAATTCTTTGGCCACAGAAAATATCTTTCAAAAACAAAGGTGAAATAAATACTAAGACATACAAAAACTGAGTACAGTCATCCCTCCGTGTCTACAAGGGATTGTTTCCAAAACCCTTGCTGATACCAAAATCCACAGATGCTCAAGTCTCTGACATAAAATGGCATAGTATTTGCATGTAACCTATGCACATCCTCTCAAACACTTTAAATCATCTCTAGATTACTTGCAATACCGAATACAACAAAAATACATAAATAGTTGATATACTGTATTTTTTATTTTTACTTTTTAAAAATTGTATTTATTTGTTGATTTTGAGTCGGAGTCTCTGTCGCCCAGGTTGGAGTGCAGTGGCACATTCACGGCCACCTCAGCCTCGACCTGCTGGGCTCAGGTGATCCTTCTGCATCAGCCTTCCAAGTAGCTGGAACCATAGGCACATGCCACCATGTCCAGCTAATTTTTATTTATTTATTGTCGAGATGAGGTCTTGCCAAGTTGCCCAGGCTGGTCTCGAACCCCTGGGGTCTGGCAATCCTCTCTCCTCCACCTCCCAAAGTGCTGGGATAACAGGCATGAGTTACCATGTCCAGCTTTTATTTGTATTTTTTTTATTATTGTAGTTAATTTTTATGATTTTTTTTTCAAATATTTTTTATCATGGTTGGTTGAGGCTGTGGTGAGCCATGATCCTTGCCACTGCACTCTAGCCTGAGTGACAGAGTAAGACCCCCAACTCAAAAAAATGGAAATATGCGATGTCTTCTAACGAAGTTCACAAACTCCTCCTAGGAAAAGTGCTACATATATCATTGCTGAATATTACTATGGTCGCCTTCGAAGGACTCCCCTTGGGAAGCTATGCACCGACATGAGTGCCTAGTCCACCTGTCAAAGCAATTTTGGAACTCTTTCTTTTTCTGGAATGGCCATCAGAGCTGTCATAGAACGTCAGTTTGAATTAAAGCAACGAACAAACAGCTAATTTCTTGTTAAATTTGGCAAGAGTGGAAGTGAAAGCACATGTTAGTCCAAGTTTACAGGGATAGTGCCATAGAGAAGATGTTTCTCTGAGGGGAGAGAAAGTGTCACTGATGAAGAGAGGTCAGGACAGCCAATGATGACCAGAACTGATGGAAAGTATGACCAACATTTGTCGAGCTGGGCATCAAAATCGTCAGCTGCGAGGAGCCCACAGACCAAATAAACATCGACAGAGTAACAGGAAACTCTTAACTGAGAATCTTGGCATGAGAGAGGTGTGTGCAAAAAATGTCCCAAAGCAGCTCTTGCTTCACAAGGCACCAGCTCACACAGCACTGTCTGTGAGGGAATGTTTAGCCAGTAAAAAAATCACTGTATTGAAACCCCATCCCCCTCACCTGATCTGGCCCCCAGTGACTTTTATTCTCTACCCGAAGACAAAGAAAATAATGAAAGGAAAACATCTTTATGACATTCAGGACACCAAGAGTGATAGGATGACAGCTCTGAGGGCCATTCCAGAAAAAGAGCTCCAAAACTGCTTGGCCAGGTGGACTAGGCTCTGGCATTGGTGCACAGCTTCCCAAGGGGAGTACACTGAAGGCGACCACAGTGACACTCAGCCATGAGGCCGGTGGCACTTCTTCTAGGAAGAGTTCACGAACTTAACTGTCAGACCGCGCATACTATCTTCACTGATCAAAAAATTTCATTCTGTAAAGATACCAATTCTTCACAAGTTAGCTTACAGAGTCAGTTAAAACCCTAGCAAGCTTTTTTCGCTGAAATTGAGAAGCTGATTTTATAACTCAAATAGAAATGCAAAAGACATAGACGAGCTAAAACAACTGTGAAAAAGAGCAATGGAGGACTGGCTTACATTGCCTGACTGCAAGACTTACATAAAGCTACAATAAACAAGTATTACAGGCCAGGTATGATGGCTCACACCTGTAATTCCAGCACTTCAGGAGGCTGAGGTAGGAGGACTGCTTGAGCCCAGGAGTTTGAGACCAGTCTGGGCAGCATAGTGAGACCTTGTCTCTACAACAAAATAAAAAAAAAATTAGCCAGGCACGGTGGTGCATGCCTATAGTCCCAGCTACTTGGGAGGCTGAAGCAGAAGGATCACCTGAGCCCAGGAGATTGAGGCTGCAGTGAGCTGTGAACTGCATTCCAGGCAAGGCGACAGAGTAAGACCCTGACTCCCCCACAAAAACTTTAACAGACAAACAGATTAATGGAGCTGAAGAATCCACACACACATGGATCTGATTTTTGACAGAAATGCAAAGGCAATTCAGTGGAAGAAGCATGGTCTTCTCAACAAACGGAGCTGGAACATAGGGGTATGCATATGCCAAAAAAATGAGTTTTAGTCCATGCCCCACACTATATACAAGAAGTATCTCAAAATGGATCACAGGACTCAGTGTAAAACCTAAAACTATAAAACTTCTGGAAGAAAACAGGAAAGAAACTCTTTGTGACCCTGGATTAGGTGAATACTTCTTTTTTTTTTTGAATTGGAGTCTCACTCTGTCACCTAGACTGGAGTACAGTGGCACGCTCCTGGCCACCACAGCCTCGACCCACTGGGCTCCAGCGATCCTTCTGCCTCAGCCTTCCAAGTAACCGGAACTCCAGGTGCGTGCTACTACACCCGGCTAATTTTGGATTTATTGTAGAGACAAGGTCTCGCCAAGTTGCCTGGGTGGGTCTTGAACCTGCGGGCTCAGGCAATTTACTCACCTCGGCCTCCCAAAGTGCTGGGATTACAGGCTGAGCCACCGAGCCCAGCCAGGTGAATACTTCTAACAAATGACAGCTTAAAAGCATGACCCATTAATAAACTAGTAAAGTGAATTTTGTAAAAATGTAATTCTGCTTCTCAAAGACACTATTAAGGAATTAAAAGACAAGACAAAGACTGGGATGAGGCCGGGCGCGGTGGCTCAGCCTGTAATCCCAGCACTTTGGGAGGCCGAGGCGAGGGGATTGCCTGAGCCCAAGGGTTTGAGAACAGCCTGGGCAACTTGGCGAGAACTTGTCTTTACAATAAATCACAAAAACTAGCCAGGCATGGTGGCGTGTGTCTGCAGTTCCTGCTACTTGGAAGGCTGAGGCGGAAGGATTGCCCGGGCGACAAGTGAGACTCCAACTCAAAAAAAAAAAAGACTGGGATGAAATAGAACTGATAAAGGACTTGTATCGAGAGAGAGAGAGAGAGAGAGAG